CTCCAAAATAAAACAAATGATGCAAATTGTTTGAATCCAAAATTTACCACCAGAAAACTGAATATAATGTGTTCAGCAACAACAAATGGCAAAAGTAGTTAGGAATAAGGGTATAATATTTTATAAAACAAAGCAAACTTGTACAAGATTGTCTAACACAAGCAGAACATAAGAATTTAACCTGTGTAGGGCTTAATTTAACTCTTATTCCATACATAATTTTTGAATGATCCCCACCAAGCCCAGATTTACAAGAAAAACATATGTTTTCAATACCAGGAAAATGCATTCTTCTGAAGATGTACAACAAGAATTAAGACGTGTGTAGATCAAAAAGTCAATATTCATTTGATCAAAAAGTCATGAAATCAATTGGGATATTTTACAATATTCTAATACATCATATAATAACTAATATTAAACACTCAAAGTGAGAACTCAGATTCTAAATTTTGTAGAACTATCTGTTATTGGTAAAGATCTGCATAGCAATCACCATTCACCAAGTATCCAACCCTTTGTTGATTATGCAATTCAAACGATAAGATGATGCTCTAAACATGGATGGTTAATTAAATGAACATGCAAATTTTATTCTACCCTTCTCCAAAGGGAATCAAATATTAGGTAGACATTGTCGCTGATTCCATTATATGTAAACCAAGATCCATGCTACCTTGAAACTTAAATTTAATTTTAGAAAGAAAAGAAAAAAGTGTACCTTAGCTAGAGTTGGGAATTTTTAGGTAGCTTCTACCATTGATAAGAAAGAGAGAGACGGAAAGCGAAAATTGGATTTTGGCTATGAGCACCTCAACATGGTGTTCACTGTCCATAACTCGCATTGCATAATCATTACTAGAAACTAATAGAGTACGAACAGTGTTTACTGTGCTTCCATTGTGTAACTTGGGATTTGGAAGATTGAAATTAGAGTTGATTTGGGAGTATTCTGAGATTGGGATTAGGGTTCTCAGACCATGGATAAAAATTAGGAGTGTTTTCAGGGTCAGGGCTAACCCGTAAGTATTCCCACCCTAACCCACATATTATGAGCCAAATAATTTTTTTTTAGTTAATATAAGTGCAAGGCTGAATGGATTATTTTAGTGTTGAGTAGGGCTAGCCCTAGGGCTTTAGCCCTTTTTGAAACATCTACCTAGATATGCCAACAATAATTTGAAAAAAAAATAAACTTTACATAAATTCACAATATTTGTAAAGAGACACCAATCATCTATCATCAATACATAATTATATCAGTGAATGGTTATCATAATTTATTAAAAAAATACTTTTGATCGCAACAAAAAACTGTAATTGCATATTTTACCTTTCCTCATATCAAAGTATATTTTTAAATTTTTATCCAATAAACATGTCACAAAATTCACACATTTTCCCTAACCCATATCAAATGTCACAGAAGCATATCATTAGTCGTATTCAAAACAAGTCAAGTTACTTTTCCATTTATGGAGTATTTGGATTTAAGAGAGGCTTCAGAAAGGTCTCATATCTAACACCACATTGGAAAGCAAAATAATTCAAAATGATTGAGAAGACAAGGTTATGAATTATGATATTAAACGGAAGAGGGGATAGGAGAACAGAAAAATCAGATACAAGTATGACACAGATACTTTTCCATTTTTAATGCTACTTCAGTTTTAGGTTGTTTTTTTAGCCTTACTGCTCATTCTCTTCAACTCTGCCCCCATGATGTTAATTTTTATCATACTATTTTTTCTCATGTAAAATGAGAGAAAATTGTCCTGCACCCACCACCTAAATTTTCTGTCTGTCATTTAGAGCGCTTCCTACCATTAATACTGCATATTTATACAAAGGCCAGGTCCCTACTACACACCACACTGCAAGCTCTTTAAACCAATTGAAAGATGCATCCCATCTTTGAGACCAGAGAAAAGGACCTACCGTTCCAAGATACTCATCCAATCTATCATGGCCAAGACATATGCAATTGTTTCATATTATACAACGTATCGGTGTTATATGATCATATTTGACCTCTTACGATGGCAATAGATGCCCAAACCTAAACTGGCTTTATGCACACATCTCCTGTCTCTCAGTGTCGGTCCATCAATGCTATATCCAACAGCATATCTGGACAAAGAAAAAATTACAGAATCTCAAGCACACCGTTCCCAATTAAAACCTTTAGTTTTTTTTTTTTAACCATAATTGGCAACATAAAGTTCACTATCATGTAACAACTACAATGTTTTTGGCAAAAATTTGATAAGAGTCAGGGTTTAGTGAGGCACTTCAATAGCAATTATTATGTATCATTGTTAATCAAAATTTCAAAGTGACACAAAATACCCTCTACAAGTGGTCACAACATAACGCTATTTTGCATGCTCAACACATACCTGTGTAGTTAAACGGGGGCATACACTGTAATTTGTGAAGTGTAATTAAAAGAAGGAGAAAAATGGTACCGAGTTTGGATATGCGGCTTGGGAGAGAAGAAAGTAAGAGCAGAGTACTTGTGCTTGGATCGTATCTGGTAATCTCGGAGCTGTTCTACAAGTTTAGAGCGGGTTATCATCTCCACCCTCACAAACTTAAACAACAATCAAAATTCAAAGTGGAAAATTGAAATTGGAACCAAACCGAGGTATCTTATGTTGGGTGCAAACATAAACCCTATTCGTATTAGCGAATTTTCTGTCACCACAAATTGGGAAGTTCTTTGGGTTTTAGGTTTACCAAGTGTAAGAAGAGAGAACCAAGGAATATGTACAGTAATTGTATTGTTCCATTAAAGAAAAGGGTTGGGTTTTAAAATAAAAGGGAAAATACTTTTTAATTGCTTGATAAAATAAAATTAATGCTTGAATTTTTAAATGAATCAAGATCTTTGATCTATTGCTTGCGTGTAGTTGTAGATTACTTGTAATTATTTTTTTTTATCTATTTAAGATTAATAACTCGTCATATATAGTTCATACTGATATTTATATTATTTATATATAATTGAGTATATTTATTCTTAAATCTTTTTCGATAGTTCTCTTTGATGAGTTTTATAAACTTTTCTTATTAGCTCTAAATGTGAACCTGAGTTCTTTTAAGAGTTTGATATAATATATTTTAGAGTTTTTTTTCACACGTAAATGAATTGATAGTTTTTTTTAGTTATTTATAAGTATAATTTTTTTCATAAAATTAATTAAATTTTTTCATTATTTAAAATATTTACATTATCATTTTATTTATTATTTTAATAAATTTTATACCATTTAATTTATTTATGACAATTTTTTATTTATCACTTGTATGCTTCAATTATACAAGAACAATTTATAATTTGTTGACTCATAATTAGAATATTTATCTCATTCATGTGCTTAAATAAATTATCATTTTTATTGATAATTTTCTGAAGATGAGTGCTGGTTGAAATGCTTAATTAATTTTTTATTGATTTATCTATTTTTACTTTTTAAAAGTTGTAATTTTTTTTATTACACTTTCTTTCATCTTCTCCTTATACCAAAAAAGGATTAGTGTTTGATTTTATCTTTCAAATAGTTTTTATAAAATTTATTTTTAAACTTTGATTGCAATATTGAAGTTATTTATCAATTATTTTTACCAAGAGAAGTTAAAATTCTAACAGCATTCCTGTATCACACAAATTTATGCAAATATCAATATAAGAATTCGTTGAGACATATCTACTAAAAATGATAGATTCTAGATAAATCTTATTAAATTTTTTAAACAAAATTTTATAATATATTTTTAAAAATATTATAAGATTACATTTAAAATAATAAAATTTTGAAATTTCAATTTTTGTAATAAAATATAGAATTAACTTAAAAGTAGTACTATAAATACATTTACTACTATTTTTAGTTAATTACAAATTTATCTCAATAATCTAATCTTAATTTAAAAACGATACTAAAAAACTTAAAACTTATGATTATGCATTTAAATTGTCCTAAAATATATTGCTTTAGTTAGTAGATTTTGAAAATAAAATAAAGTAATCCAATCAGTTACATTTAAACATTTTAGACAAAAATTCAAAAAGTTCAACTAAAAAACACTAAATAAATAAAATAAAATAACGGCAATGCTAACAAATTAAGGCATTGATTAAGAATAAAAATAAAATATTTTATTGAAACCATTAAAACATAATCTTATATATTTTTAATGCGTTTTAACACGACTTGAAAAAACTTTTTATTGAACCCATCACCAATATTCTAATAGAAATGATTAACAAAACTCTTATAATAATCAAACAATAATAAAAAATATATAAAAAAATCACATACTAACAAAAATAGAAGCGATATAAAAGAATGATCAATTCACTATATATTTCATTAAGTTCACTTTAATTTTATTTTTTTTTAAATTCCACCGAAAAAATTATTAAAAAAAATCATTTTACTAAGTGACTCCGTACTGGAAATAATGTACATAATAAACATCGAAAATAAAAATACTGAATAGTTCAATACAAACTTTTACATAATGATTGTTAGGTACCATTAAAAATATTTAGTAAGATTATCATTCATTATGCAAGATAAATACGATCATTGTAAAACTCCGGGATGCAGCAGCACTTTGCAACAATATTCACGATGTGTAAAACAATTTAGTGAATTAAGAATAAACCAAAAGCAAATTTAGAAGAGTTCACCAATATTAAGCCAACTAGGAATCTTAATCATTAGCTAACCTCAAATTAAGAGTGAAATCCCTATTTAAGGTTTCTAAATATCTTGTACTGATTTATTAGTCAAAGTTGTCAAATCAAAGTTTTATATAACATCGCGTTAAAAATAATTCCAAGAGAAACTACCGAATGATAGTCACTTTTTCCACTGAATAGGTCACAAGTTGGATGCTAAATTCCAACTCGGAAAAGACATAGCTACACAGTACCTCCTGGACATTACCTCAAAAAGCATTACTCTCGAAAAAAAACCCATTAGATCTCACATACCCCAAAAGGGAATTTTTTCAAATTCTATGTAGCCATTCAAATTATATAGTGATAAGAAATTTAGCTGCTCAGAGTAGAAAGCACGCCTCCCGTTGCACTTGGAATCACCACCTCCCACCCAGGCCCTTTAAGGGGAAAAGTACTGGCTGGTCCATCGAAAACAAGATCACTACGATCCAAGAGCTTATCCAGATCTTCATCACTTATATCTGTTTGTATCATTTTATCATCAGCTGTTTCTTCATCTCGAAGCAATGCCAAAACATCCTCTTCCTAAAATTAAATCGTGCACAAACTCTGAATTAAAACATGATAAGAACTATCAAACAAATAAATTCTCATGGTAAAAATGACAACAGGACCAAATACTATTTCTAGTAAATTTTAGATTTAAACTAATAGATTAACCCTAAACAAATAAGGATACAACACAACCCAAGACAAGAGCTTACGAAACAAATCATTACAAAGTCTTAGTAATTTGCAATTGAAGGTGTATTAGCTTTTAATACATGGGACTAATAAGACTAAATAATCATTTAAAAGATTTTCATGTTCATTTAGTCAGCTAACTCAACTATTTTTTGGCCACTTAAATAGGATTATATTAAGTTGATAACTAAAATCTTTTAACATCATATTTATGTTGACACAGTTGACAACAAATCCATATCTACTTCTATCAAAACGTGGTAGACCAAATATAAAAAGCAACTGCTAAAGTACAAACCTCCAGGTCATTCATACTAACAGATTTTGTACGTTCTTGATGAAATTGTCCCTTTTCAATTACCACATGCTCAAGTTTCAATTTGCTGTATGCTCTTTTTAACATGCGACCCTGCAAATATACTTTGTCATAACCATCTCTATAATAAACCACCCAGTCACGTTAGATTGAGCTCAATATACATTTCCAAGTACCTCTACAGATTGAGCTGTTGACAGCCTATAAACATGAACAGGCTTTGTTTGGCCTATTCTATGACATCTATCCATGGCCTGTAAATCCATCTGAGGATTCTGGAATACCACAAAACACATGCAGATTAAAAATAAATCATTAAGCAAATAGATAAAATTTCAGAGGAAAATGTCTAAAAGTACCCAATCACTGTCATAAAGAATGCAAGTGTCAGCTGCTGTGAGGTTAATTCCCAATCCACCAGCCCTAGTAGAAAGAAGAAAGATTCTGCAATCGTTGTTTACATCGTTGAATTCCTCAATCTGATAATGGGAGAAGAATTACCAATGAACTATATTTAAATTCAGCCTCTTCAATCCATCATTAGTGACTCAAAACAACATTCTGAAATAGAACAGATGATAACAGAAGTATACAACAACAACAAAGCCTTATCCCACTAGGTGAGATTAGCTAATGATAACAAAAGTATAATGCAACAAAAATCCCAGTTCCAAACAGACAGCATTCAATCAAAGCTTCATGAAAAATATTACACTAACTATAATGGGAATGGCTAATAATAAGGCTTCATTTTAATGGAATATTGATACACTGATTGATAAAGGAAGAAAGCAAAAGCCTGTCAATAATAAATTTAAGATATCAAGTGGAGCAGACAACAATAAATCTCTTGGATATTTAGGATGCATGTGTAAGCTTTGAAAAAAAATTACTCTCATCACAGGGTCTTGATAATGAGTTCCCTAAGAGCATTGGTGTAAAAATCAATAAATAGAAAGTTTCTCTTTAAAAATCACAGTGGGAGTATTTTGGTAACACTTATCTATAAAAACTTTAGTTTTTGTTCCTCCCTAGCCAATGCTCTAAAAACTTGTTACCATTCTCCTTTATGATTAGCATTTTTGTTTAGAAGCTAACTTTTAAGAAAAACATGAACATTTTAGGATTTTTTCCCCTAAAACTTATATCTATAAATTTTAATCATTTTTTCAATAAAAGAAATCCTTTTTTTTTAAAACAAATGCACCAGGAAACTGACTCTTCAAATGTCATATAACAAAAAGAAAGTAATATAGAAGAACACGAAAGGTAATGCAATATCAAGTATTCAAAACCATATGACCAAAAAGTAATATGAATTATCTGATGTTAATCATGCACTGCTACAAACCTGTCTTTTTCTTTCAGCCAGTTTCACACAACCATCAATCCTGCAAACCTCAAAGCCCTTTTCACTAAAATAATAATCCATTATATCCAACACTTTAGTCCACTGACTGAAGATCAGAACCTGACAGCAATCAGAAAATACAAGTGCATATAAGCAGCAGCTTGGTAATAAAAGGGAAAGTAGAAAACCATTAACACAGCATTGTAAAGCATACTTTGTGATTCCTTGCAAATAAACGTTGCAACAATCGATCCAGTAAATGGAATTTTCCACATTGTTCAACTATCTCATTTACAGGAGGATATAGATCTATCAAGAAAGCAATAGACAGCTTTAGTTAAGAATAATAGATCATGAAATCAGTAAAGCCATTCTATTTCCCGATACTCACATGAACCATCAAAGGCTGAATCCAAGAGATCTGGATGGTTACAGACCTTTCTAAGTTGAATAACCAAATTATTAAGCTTACTTGCAGCACATCCTACAACAAAGAATTATAATACAGATCTGTTTAATACAATTTCATAGACAAAAACCCACATAACTGGGAGTACAAGTACATGAGCTGCAAGTACACTTTTTGTTTTCAGAGCAAAAATTGGAAGCAAATCTTACTAATTGACAATTTTTCTGGTAAATAGTTCCCTAATGTCTTATTAACTAAATGATCCTGCAAATTCTTCTGATGCTCAGTCATGTTTGCATAGATAATAATCTCCTTTTTCCGTGGCAACATAATCTCAACATCAGACTTCATTCTTCGTAGGAGAAAGGGTCGAAGAATGGCATGAAGTTTTGCTACTACCTGCATGTGATAAATTCATTAAGCCTTCCAGTTTATATGAGAATGGACATGTAGCACAAAACCAATCTTAGTGTGCATACTTGCGTCCTTCGTTTCTCTTCAAGTTCTTCCTTAGTTGATCCATTACTACACTTTCCTGACAGATTAAACCTACAAGGAGTTTAATTGCATAGAAGAAATTAAAACAAAACATGCAGTTTTTCGTTTTGCATAAAACCAAAACCAATATTGTCAAATGACAGAAAAACCATTGATCATATAGAAAAGAGCAAAACAAAGTCCTAAGCAACAACTAGGTTTTATAGAAAAGCAGACTTTGCCTATGTAAAATTCATACAACTGAGCAGAAATGGGGCTAGGGGCAGAACTAGACAGATTCAAATGAAAACGACATTAAAATTGAGAAAATATCTAGTAGTGATTGAAAGAAAATTTATAAATTAACTTAAACAATATCAAACTGATCAAAACTTATTGAAATATAATGGAATCAGCCAAACTGTTTCCCTTCAATATGCTAAGTGATATTGATGCAAGTCTTTATATAAAAAGATCTCATTTGTTCAATATAAAACACATCAAACATTTTCAGGCATAGTTTTTAACAAAATCAATTCAGAGTTGACATATCATCAGAGGTTACTCGAGGAAAGAAGAAAAGCATGATCTTAAATAAACAATAAGCAAAGGATACTAACCATGACTCAAATTCTTCAAGGGATGAGAAAATATCAGGTAAAATGAAGTTCAACAGAGACCATAGCTCTGCCAAGTTATTCTGAAGAGGTGTCCCAGTTAGAAGAAGCTTGTTTTCTACATTTATGTATCTCAATGTCTTCACTAATTTGCATTTCGAGTTTTTGAGTCTGTGTCCCTACAATGGACAAAAATCTAGTTAGAACAACAGAAGCATACAGACTTTTAATTATTTTAGTATTGCAGGGTCAATAAGGGCAGCTAAATGGAAAGCATTTTACACATTAAAATAAATTATTTACCTCATCAACAACAAGATATTTCCAATTGTACAACCTCAGATGTTTCCTTGCATCATTTAAGGCAACCTCATAAGAAGTTATGACAATGGGAAAATTCGCGCCAATTGTTCTAGGCATGTGTTTCCTCCGAGTCTCATCTCTCTGTCTCTTGTCACCATGGTAGATAATGGCATGGAGCGATGGTGCAAACCTGTTTACATTAATTCAAAAGCTAAAAATCAAAATGCAAAAGCATAGCATAATAATATAATAATTAAATAGACAATAATCATTAACAAATCATTTTCTTGTCTACCTAGAAATCTCATTCACCCAATTTGATAGGGTTGATAGAGGAGCAATTATCATGTATGGTCCATCCAGACCTTTCCCTTTTAAATGTGAGAGAAATCCAATTGTTTGGATTGTCTTTCCAAGACCCATTTGATCAGCGAGAATCCCATTCAACCCATTTTGCCACAATGAAATCAACCACTTTACACCCTTCAGCTGATAAGGCTTCAACTTTCCACCTGTCAGTAAAGGCATGAGCTCTTTCTGCTCTTTCTCAATTCTTTCCTCCTCACTCATGTTCATATCTTCAGTCCTCTCACTTTCTTTAGATCTCGTAAGCATTGCAGCAACTGCCCTTTTGGCCTTCCTCTAAAGTTATTTCAAACATGATAGCACATTATTGATTAAAATAACTCAAGTTACATATGATTATTACTAATTAATAGAAGATAGTAGAAAAAAGCACATTAAACTTTGCCTTGAAAGTAAAGAGAGAGAAAGGATGTTGTTCATGTGCTTAAACCAATGTTCAAACAATATCTGACCAACTTGCTCTTGTACACAAAGATAACAATATCATTACTCAAATCAGACACTTCTCACTAGGAGTCAAAAAAGTTCAGCAGTGCTAAAAGGTCATCATTCCTTTTTGCAACTTCTATACACACATAACCTGACATACAGTGACCTGCCAGTTAGCATGAAAAATATATAGATACACCAGAGCACAATGTACTTACAGTATTGCACTGTGAGGCTGCTTTTCTTTTAGACCCACGGCTCCGCTTCTTTGCTGCTGGTTTGCTCTCTTCATCCATGTTCTCTTGTCCATCCATGGTCTAGCAAAAAATATTCAAATCATCACAAAAATGCAACAAGAACAACAAATTAACATACGTAAAAAGTTGTCACAAAAAAAAAAAAAGAAGAGCACAAGAGAGTAAAAATACAAGTGTGATGTCATCCATTTTCTCCAGTAGAAACTCAGAGTACAGTTTGGTTTGCGTTAAAAGCTCATCCAATTTGTTGAACTGTGTGTCACTGAGGTCAGTTGCCTCCTCACACTGCGCCTTCTCTTCATTAATTCTAGCTTTGAGCAACTTCTCTTCCTCCTCTGCCATTGTTCTCGATATAAGAGAGGACCCATCATCTTTAACATCAGCAATCACCTCTTCCTCTGACTTAACTTCTTCTTTAATGCCACAGACATCCTTACCATTTGGAAAAATAAAGAATGAATAGGGAATAACAGACATCAAAACCATTTCCCTCCAAAAATAATAACAAAAACAAAATAAGCCCCTATCAGCAGAACAAGAACAACATAAATATTACTACTACCTTGTAGCACCAAACGATGACAACATCAACTCAAACAATCACGCGGTTCCTTAAAAACAACCGTTCATTTGAAGTTTACATTGCATTGCATAACACTACTCAAATACATATATCCAAACAAAGCATAAATAATAAAAAACACATGGAGCGTGAGTGCGACAGTGTTAGAGAAGTAACTACATCCTCAATATTAACTCTTAACGTTATTGTTCAAAACGACAGCGGATAGAAAACGGTTATTGTTCGAGAATAAGAATCCACAGAACAGACCTCATCTTCGAGGACCGAAGTTGGGGACTCTGCTGCAGGATCGTCGTTCTTAACCATGTTTTTCGCCTCCATTTCGAACCCTAAACGCAGAGCATAATAACCGTATTAGAAAAACCGAACCAAACTTTCAAAAATAAATAAATATGAAAAGAAACTGCGTTAGGGTTGCGATGTATGATACCTGGCACAGAGAAAACGGTGAAGGAAGAAGGGGGAAATGGAAATGTAGAGTTGAAGAGTTGAAAGACGTTGAGAAGGTGAAAGGACCGCGAAACAGTGTGAAGAGTGGTGGGTAAGTGGTGCCGAGAACTGAGGATTTTTTTTTAGGTTTAATTTTCTTAATTAATTTTAATGGGGCGTGAGCTTGGGCGGGAAAGTAAAGTTGAATTGTTGCCCCTGGTTGTTGGGTTATTTACTAAAAAGACCTACTTGTTGGCACTGGTTTTAAGGCTAGAGTAAGGTCATATCTTGGGATCGGATTCAGTAACTTCACCGTCCTATTACGTGATTTTGTATTAAACGAAAATACAAAATTTTACCTAAATGCACAGTGCAATTTTCGCATCGACCGCACCGAATCCTGATCCCATATCTTGTAGGGTGTAGGGTGTAGGGTGCAGTGCAGCAGCTAAATGCTAACCAACGGTGTGCTGCTTCCCAGATTCCATGAAAAGAGATGACGCGTGCTGTGATTAGTTAGCCACATTTTGGTTCGTTGCATCCCACTTCTTCAACTCGCATTTTTTTCTTAAACAAATTACCCACATGTTTAATAAACGGTTTTTCTTGTATAATGAAAATTAATAAATAATCAACTATAAATAGTGTGTTAAATTTTATAATTTTCAATAAAATTTATCAACTTTTAATTCAAATGAATTATTTTGCTTTGTAATTATTTATAAACATTAAATTTTATCAATTAAACTATTAAATGAGATCGTATATGCATGTTGACTATACATATCAAATTTAGATAAATAAACTATTTATAAATATGTAATTTTATAAGTAATATTTATTTATATTTTCAACATATATATTAAATATTAAAATAAATTTATATATCTTTAGATGCATATAAACAAATTATTTTAATAAAAACACAATAACTTCTAAAGAGTAAAAATTATTTTGAGAGTATTGCCATAAAAAACATTCTTAGAGTGTGCTAATATTTGAATCTTTCGAATAAATATTGCATCATGGAACATTTGAAAGAAATTATTAAAAATTTCTTAAAATAACTTATAATTTCCCCCAATTTTTGCAACAATTATCCTTTTCTCATTAAATACCTTAATTTGACAAATAATTTATAATTTATTGAAAAAAATTTATTATTTATAGATAAAAATGTTTATTTAAACTATTTACTCAAAAACACTTTGTATGAGTGTTAATGAGGGATTCAAGATTGAATGAGAAACGACATGAAATAGCCGTCGTTCAGAACGCCTGATCTACGGTCAAGTGAAACTCCAGGAAACATCACTGGTAAGTCGTAATTCAAAAGTATCATTAACAAGTGATGAAACTTTTCATATAACCATACTCTTGGTTTTTATATATTATATAAAGCAGTGCTGTGCTTTGTCTTTTTTTTTTTTTTTGGCTTGTCATTCATTCCATTAAATGTAAGCACCGTTAATAAATAAAAACAACATTCTTTTATCAAATGGTTTTCTTAACAAAATTATGTTTTATAAAATAGTCCAAAGTTCGCTTTTCCAGAGGAATTTGTAGTACGCAAAGCAGAACCTTTTTTCACTTTGTTTTTTTTATTATCATGGCTCGCCAGTCGAGTGGAACTCTAATATATATATATATATATATATTGATAATACTCAAATATTTTATTATTTATATGACCTACAAAACTGAATCATCACAACATAAACAAACTTCGGTGGACTACATGTGTTCCCTTTCATCAGGGTATAATAAACCCATAATCTGCAAGACAAAATTGTTTTTCATCATTCATGGTCCATGATCTGCCACATTCTCTGTCTAAATTATTTGATAAAGATGCCCCCTGCTTCGTTTTCGTGGTACATTACTCCTTACGAATTTTCTTTACTAAACAATTTAACATGGTGTGTCTACACTCATAAACCAATGTAAAATACACGTCAATATTTTGAGATGACAAAAATACCACGCAGCCAGCCATTGGAGAATAGATAATAAAGGTAAATAAGATATAGCTCACAATATTTTCTTTGCTTGAATTAAAATGGACAAATTGGTGACAATATCACCAATTTGAATAATGTTATTCCATTCAGTAATACTTGCAAGACACACCTAGGATTGGGAGCAGAGATCTTCAAAGCCCATATACTCTTGATTTTCCATCTTCTCAATCATGTTCTCTATTCCCACCCCACCTGTGATCCATGACTCAAGAAATAAACATCCTTGAAAGAAACGAAATGATGAAACAAAAAATTTGGATTGCAACTAAAATCACATAGATTACCTAAACTAATTGCGCTTATGAAAATGGTCAATGCTAGTATGAAGATGATAATTGATGCTCGTCCAAGAATTGCAATTATCTTTCTCACCACATGCTGGCCAATGAAGGCAGCTATGGTAGCAACCAACAAAAAATAAGCAGCTGCAACAAAGAGGATAAAAAAGTCAATAACAATTAACCATCAATTTTCACAACTTTTTAGATGTTAATTTAGTAGCAAATAGACTAAAAACTAAAAAGCCTACTGTTAATGAAAATAAGGTACTTATTGTTAGTGGGAGGTCTTGAATGGTACACATAGGTGTTATCTTTAATGAGTTTGTCTTGTCTTCCCAGAAACTTGCTACTATATATGGATCGTTCTAGATTTTTGTTTTTAATTCCTAATTTCCTACTTACCATAAGGTACTGGGAAGCGATTCAGAAAGTAATATTGCACCACTGACATGGAGGATGAAAATACCATGGCAAAAGTTGATGTGGCACTTGCTACCTGGAACAAAGAACACACATTTGTTGAAGTTATTTTTTTTTATTATTCGATTGTTCTTGGGAACCTTAAGATATTAAATACACATGAATGGTGAAGAGGGTACCTGAGGAGGAATTCCCAACTCTAGAAACAAGGGCCCCAAAATGAAGCCACCTCCTAGACCAAGCAATCCACCAACCATACCCGCTGCCATTCCACAGGAACAGTAGAGACAAATTTGATAAATCTTCCAATTTGTAATTTCCTTTCCCTTTGAAGCAATCACTCTTGTTCCTTTGTATAAGCCTATGGCTTCAAAAAGTGTAACAGAGATTGCAATAGGAACCTTGAATTGGCAAATCAAATTTCATTTAGTCCTTCGCGTGTCATGATATTATGTTAATTGCAGAATTATACGTCAAAATTCAAAACTACCGATATGCTTTTATGCTCTGATCTCCTGAGTAGAATGAGTCTTGATGCATGCTATAGATTACAACTTATTGTTTCCACTAAAATTAAACAGTAAGTTCCTCGTATTGTCCTGTTTTAGGTTGGCTCTCGTGCTCTCTGTCCAACTTATTGGAATTGACACATTTCGGTAGCATATTTGAGTTCATTTGTCTTATACTTTTTCTGGCAAGCCGTTTTCGTCACGAGTTCTTGCAAACATAGCTCTACTATCAATTTTATGTCATGTTCTTTGATTTACTATTCAGTGCTGAAACAGTGAAACTCATCTCACATGCAGTAGTATCCAAAATTCCAACTACATATTAGAAGTTACCTCACCTGCAAAAAATTAAGAACCCAATACTGGATGGAGCAAGTCCTGCTGTATTCCTGCATAGAAATGCATTCACTAAACATCAGAAAACCCAATAAATTTAAACTGTCGATGAAATGATCTTCAATTGCAGGCTAAAGTGTCATCAATTTACTGGAAGGACTCACTTGTATCGCAGGTTCAAATTAAAAAAATAAAGAAGTTTCAAACAAGTTAACTTCTTATATGAATGGGTCTAGGCTAGTGAGTCGTGACTGCATCTTTCCCATGCTTTAAATTGAAAAACCTTGGAACCAGAAAATCAAACAGAATGTAATAGTTTGATTACCTTAACAATCTGAACAATGAAAAAAGCCACCCAGACATACGCAAGGAGTGATAAATCTTTCCAATAAATGTTTTTCAGAATAGGGGCCTGCATGCACACGTGATAAATATATAGTGGATAAAGCTAAATCAATCATTGATAGACTTTCCAAAGTAGAAATGATTTGAATTACCTCTTCAAATAGTGGATTAGCTGGACCACTTGGTAGTGGTTTGTAGTCATCGGCAGAAGCATCTGCAATAAAGGGTGTTCCAATAATAAATATTAAAGAGATTTTTCTATAACTTCTTCTGAATGTTAATACTTTCTCTGAATATTATAAACAGGATTTTAGGAACTTACCACCAGGTTTTGGTTCTACTTCCAACTGCTTAGATGCTTCCTGCAAGTCAAGTAGCACAGCACTCTTACCATTGAATTGAAGGAGTGAGACTGAACTTCTAAATTTCAGGAAGCGCAATAAGGTAAATTTACCTTTTTTATCATTGTTTCCTTTTTCCATGTTTCTACGCCTTTGAATATAGCTTTTGTTGATGTAGCTACCACCGATTATTTCCAAGTCAGTATTAGCAACCAAGAAATTATAAATAAGGCATTGTAGATATCACATTAACTAAATAATGTCATTTGTAGCATCAACTGGTTATGAAGCCCTGATAAATACCATAATGTAATTATGTCGACTGCGAAAGATAGATTCATAATGTTACCTTTTACCGAAATTTATTTAGATAAAGGAAGATATCATTGTCCCAGGAAATGCGTGCCGATTATTTTGTGATAAATAGTTTTTTGTCAAAAGACTTTTTTGATAAACTTTCAATTGCAAATTCTAAAGTAAAAAATTATACATGTTTCAAACACAAAATTAATTAAAATAAAAAGGATAAATGTTAATAAGATAATTATTACCAATGAATAGGATGATAAGCAAAACTGTCACCATCCAATCGGCAAACATGACATTGCATATAACACCGATGCTTATTCCGAGCATTAGCATAGGCTGGAAAATCAAAGCCAGGTCATAATCTATAAGCGGCATGTCTAGTGTTGGGTGTCTAAGCCTCAGATTGTAGTATACAGTTGACATAGATGCACCCATAATCATACCTGCGGTTATGAAATCAAAGCAATGATATGAAGAATACAAAAACTGAATTTTTCCATAAACCAAGCAAATATATTTCCTTATTTTGAGAGCACAAGGGGTTCAACGTGCCGGTGTAATAACAAGAGAACATTCATTTTTTAGAGTCTTAAAAATGGAGGTGAAAAATGAGAACTGCATCAAAGAGTATATTTCTGAATATTGTAGAAAAAATCATAATTTTTGGGAGTTATGTTTGCAATAACTAAAGAAAATCAACATAATGTCTAAATTACAAGTCCTTTTCAGATAATTAATCTTTTGGTTGATTTTTCTATATGAACTGATGTCCTAATAATTGACGTTTAATATTAAATTTAATGCACGACATTGTGAATAATACTGACACTGCATGCAATCTAGCAAAATAAATATCTTCATTGTCACTGGAACTCCAAAAAATAAAGATGAAAAGCATGCATGCATCCACACATAACTGTGATTCAGTTAATCGTGTTTAGCATGCAAGAATTAATGAAACCAGAATAGAAAACTAACACTTAGAAATGGCCGTAGAGGACTTGGGGTCAAAGCCAATGATCAAAGCGAGCATAGGCACAAAAATTCCTCCACCCCCTACCCCTCCAACACTTCCCAATGCTGCTCCCAAAAATCCAATGATTGATCCTACAACAATTCTCCAACCAAATTTCATCTCCTGCTCAACCACCAGTACCATGCACATTTGTTAAAACACATTTTAAAAGAAATAACCAAAGTTACTCATATAAATAAATGTGTTTGATGAACTCACCGGCCAAACAGGTTCATAGGAAGACTTTCCACTCTCCCATAAGAAATCCATCATAGCTTTTAGAACTCCTCGTCTTTCTTCTTCCACAACATTTCCAAATTCTTTTTCTTTCAAAACTCTGTCTGCTAAACTGACATTGCAGATCATTGTAAGAATACACAAGGCCAGCCATATTGTTGCAGCAATCGAAAATGTCTCATGCTTCGCTTGTGTAGCCATGTTTTGAAATCTAGGAGAACAATGTGTGTTCCTTTTTTTTTTAACCCTTAGCTTCTACAAGTATGGCTGAGGAAGGAAATTGTGAAAATTGAAAGTGCATTCTTTAGTACCACCATCCTGTTTTTATATATATAATAACGAAGGCACACTTCTCTCTCCCTATCTTTGCCCCATCAAATAATGTTATTTATTTGAAAAAGAAATCCTAGATGAATTTGAGGGTGCTTATTTTCTTTTTCACATTCATGTTTCGAAAATTCCATTAGTTTAATATAGAACTATTGTAGACAATCCCCTTATAGTGCTTAAACGGTGTCCTGAACAGTTATTAATATACATTATTAACATTTTGGCGGTATAAGTGTTTTGGCACTATAAACCGTGCTTGTGTTTACGGTTGTGACACTCCAATTATTTGATATCTTTAACGGATATATATATATATATATATATATATATATATATATATATATATATATATATATATATATATTGTGCTTGATAGTTTAAGAAATGCCATTCAGTTAATGCTTTTTCATTAACTGTTAACTCACTTTTATGCTAAAAGAATACCGAAATATGAAGACTAAGAAAATTTAATTGATTGAGTAAATAAGTAAATAATGTTTATTACGTTCAAATGTTGGTTTTTCTACGCATAATTGTAAGTTCTCTTGTTTTTTAAGTTTTTCCTCATCATTCTATATCATTATTCATGGATAAATAAGTAATTAGGAAGCCGTTGTTCAAGGAGAATGGACTGATGGAAGTTTCCCAAAAAGGCGAAATGGGCATGAAACGATAACAAACAATGCTATCAAAAGTAATTTCTGGTGTTAAAAAAACAGACTACACTTGACAATTAGTACCTCAGCATATGTAGCGTCAAGAACAAGCCAACGGTTCCGGAGGAAGCTTCACGGAAGAAGCATTCATTAACGTTATATTTGTTTGATAGTATATATAATTCGGTCGCTTAGATGATTTTGGCATGATCGATGGAAAAAGAGTGGAATAAAAAAGTTACAACTATTTGGATTATTTAAATTAGAATCAAATGTATTTTAATTTATTTCATTTAATATTTCTATTGATTTTCAAAATCTGAGAGTATGATCAGATGAAGTTAGTTTATTGTTTACTAATTTATAAAATAAAATAAAAGATTTACTTAATTTTTTATAAAATATTTAGATAACTATAAAATTAATTTATTTTATTTCATATTTTTATTATTTCATCCTATTTCTCCTGACAGAGATATAAATATGATAAATTCTACTTTCACAAAACTATTTTGCAATTAGTATTTTTTTTCACACACTGCAGAGTATTATCAAAATAACAAATTTTAAAATAAATAATTAAAGTATATTATATGAAGATTTTAAATTTATAAATTTTAAAAAAGAGTAAATGCTTCAATTATTCATAATAAGTATTTTATTATATTAAATGAAATTTAAAAAATTAAGAATAAATAACTTCATAATGTAAAAGAAAAACTTAACATGCTCAAAAAGGAACTAATTCTTAAAAACACTCTTGCTTGAAAATACATTTAAAAATACTCTTTGAAAGATTGATTAAAAAAAGAGAAGTAAGAATAAAAAAGTGATGCAATAATAAGAGATTGATATAAAAAAGTTATAAAAATTGTATGTGTAAACTATAAACATATAATAACAGTAAGAGAAAGGGATATTCGAACGGGCAGCAGTTGAAAATTAAAAGACATTACTCATTAATTTATTTTCATTTTCTTTTCTGATATTTTGAAAGTTATAATAAAACATTTCCTTTTAATTTTTAGTAATTTAATATAAAGAAAACACTTAATATCTTATTGTAACCACTCTATTCCACGTTGTTATGAACATGTACTCCTAAACTAGCTTACAATATAATGAAGCTTCATGCTAACTACATTTGATTTTGGCTTTTCTGGGCCTCATCTCGCTTGCACTCCATTTTTGGATGCTCATGAATCTTTATAGTGGTACCCCTGTTTTCAAAATGCTGTTTTCATTCGTCAATCAAGCTGCAGGATGCAGTAACTAAGATTAATTAATTAATGATATATATATATTATTTGCCTTTGAACTGGGTTTCAGCATGGAACCCCATCCTTAATCAAATCAAATAGCCTTTGATTTTTTTTTTTCGTCGCGTATTGCTGCTCGCACATGTAGTAGCAAGTGAAATTGCTAGAGTTGTAAACCATCAAATTCAGATAGAAATACAAGGCACATTTGTGTCAAATTTTGCGTGTATGCAACTGCCCTGTAGTTTTTTAAGCTTGAATTTTTATTTTATTTTTGGTACATACCTGGATAGTTGTTTTTAAAGCTTTAAGTACTCGCACACGTGCTACAATCAAGAACGGAGTATGTTAGGAGAGGGTGGGAAGAAGTTTTAATAGAGAGGACAGATGTATTGTTTGGGATATGAATTTTTTTGTAATTTTAATACAAACTTCAACATTTAAATGAATTTAGATTCGTTCAAGTGAGAGAGCTGTATTTTTACTTTTTGAATAAATGTTAAGCTTTGTAGTCTATGTCAAGTATTAAAACAGTAAAAACTTTATATGGGTGTTGTTTAATGTTAAAGAAAGACAACATGAAAAAAATGGAATTTACTATTATATGTTTATTTAAGATGGTTAAATATTTTTATTAAATTAAGGATAATTTTGTCTAATTTGTTTAAAAATTTCATTCTCCTTCAGATTCTCAATATTGGGAGAAGGTAAAGTTAAATGAAAAAAAAATTAATTTATTCTTTTCAAAATATTGAATCTGGCATAAAGAAAATATGAAAAAAATATAATTTTTTCAACCAAACCCTATGTTATTATAGAGGAAATAGTAAGATATATGAATTTATTATTCATGTCTTACTTGTTTTGCCGACAGCAGCAGATAAAATATGCATAGATATATATGGATCCTACGTCAAAACTAAACTCTTGATAAAAAATGTGAAGATATAGTCCAAATTCAAGAAGTTCCATGAATAATAGGAGTGATTATTATTATGTCTAGGACTCCATTTCAAAGGTATTGCTCTACGTCCCCAAGTCCGCAATAGCCATAAAGAATAAAAAAAACATTGAACAAAACATGGAGGTGACATTGATTGGCGCCTTAAACACACTCCCAAACGAAGGCGTCAAACTCAACTCTCTGCAAAATGAGATCTCACACTCTCACTTCTCATATCAATTAAACAAGAAAAAGTAGAAAAACCCCCCTTGATTTTCTCCCTTTTCACGTGTGTGATTAACGATAGTAGAATTGCTAATATCGTTAATTCAGCAGCCTAAAAGTGCTGATGCCTCTGGCCGCTCATATCACCGCTAGAGGTACTGCTGGTGGTGCCATATTCCTGGCTAGAAAACACTGCTTTTCTGAACTTTTCTAAATCAGCATTGTATTGCATTGTATCATATTGATCTGAATTCAAAGATGAAGGGGTGAAAGCAGTGTGTCCTGGTTTAACCCCACCCCTCAAGTCGTCTAGTGAGACATCTCCTTCCAATATTCTCACAATCTACACATAATTTAAGTGAATATATATAAATTCATCACTATCATTCCATCTTGAATATAGTCACATGGGATGCCATAAATTAAGGTCTGTATCTTAGATAGCATTTGTATTATGCAACAGAATATATAAATTTCCCTTTGTGTTTGCTTTGTTTAAATGGTATAATAAAAAAATTGAGGTTAAAATACACATATTTTGGTTCCCTTCAAAACTATATCATTTAACTTGACTTTGTCCACTCGTCATCTCAAACAATAAAATATAGTCAATATGACATATTATCATCTATAACTTGAAAATAATGTGTTAAAATGAGATAGACATAATATATAATTATATTATGCGGGTGTGATTTATTTTAAAAATAAAATAAAAAATATGTATTAAAAAAGATACATTTTAATTATATTTAAAAAGATGAAACTTAGAAGAATAGAACAAAGTAAACTATCTTATTATGTTTAGTTTACTTGATATATTTTACTTTAAACATTGATTAATGGTGACATAGACTTTATATTGAAATTATATGCACGCGTACACGTACGTACATACATACCTGGCTCATTTTTGGACGCTTCTTGGCAGAATGACGAATGCTAGCAGCAGCACAAGCTGCCATCCTTTGCAGTTCTTGAGGACTGTAGTTTCCCTCTAAAAATAAATCCACCAACTCTCCAAAGTTGCCATCCTCCTCTAGTCCACGAGTTAGTAGTGGTCGAGCCTATACAGTTTCCATGTTCCCAAAAGTTTCAGTACAACGAGGGGGAAAATGTCGAAAGATAGACAATGGGTTTTAAAATGAACATAATACTAACCCAGTCTACTAAGCTGTCATCCATTGTATTTGTGTGATCTACAGGTCGCTTTCCAGTTATAAGTTCCAATAACATGACTCCAAATGAAAAAACATCAGATTTTTCTGTCAATTTTCCGCTTGATGCATATTCAGGAGCTAGGTACCTGTGCAAGCAAACAATGATAGACTCAGATTGGATTACTATAAATGTCCTTAAAAATTGTGTGTGATAGCTATGAGTCTTTCTCAAATAAAAATTCCTTTTAAAAAAATATCTTAATTATACTATAATATATTTGGACAAATTTTTAAAAATAAAAAAGTACTATTAAAAAGTATAATTTGTGATTTTTTAAGTTAAAGTTGTGTACTAATAAAAGAAAGGCCTTTTCTGCAAAATAAAAATGCTACACGAACATGATAAAGTATTTCCCTAATTTTATATTCAAACACATCATAACTTCACAGTTGGGTCAAAAGTTAATTCGGATAATATGTCAAAAAATAAGAGAAACCAACTCAGTCTAGCCCATTATGTTTTGGTCAGTCCAACCTATGATCATCCTTATTGCTCAGAAGGAATAAAAGCACGTGGTGAAGAAGAATTACCCGAAAGTTCCCATGACACGAGTCGATACATGAGTATTATTATCAGTAGTTAACTTAGCCAATCCAAAATCAGCAACCTGATTAAAATGTAATATTGGTAACATGTGCAATAACATAAATTGTAGACGTAAAATACGTGAACATAAATAGATAAAATACGTAAATATGATGTACCTTTGCTTCAAAGCTATCATCAATAAGGACATTTGCAGCTTTAATATCACGATGAATTATGCGAGGATGACCTAAGTGTATACATAAATATAGCAAAAATGAAAAATATACTAATGAAAAATGAATAAAAAGATAAGTCATCAAACTAGAGAGAAATTTGGATCTTACAGTCCTCATGAAGATAGGCAAGCCCTTTAGCTGATCCTATTGCAATCCGCATTCTAGTTGGCCAATCCATGGTTGGTGTACCCTTTCCTACATGTCACCATTGAACACTTTAGCAATCTTGTTTACAAGGGATGCTTAGGATTAAAATGTTAAACATGTGTTACAAGTTCCTTTCATATAACATGATAAATTATGTATAACTTCTCTCTCTCTCTCTCTCTCTCTTTATTGATTTTTATAATAAAAAAATACAACTTTCAAGGCCATAGTTTCGTAAGTGTCTTTCGGTTGAAATTTACTCTTGAGAAGCAAAGTCTTTAATGATAGTAGCTCATAGAATGTATATGTAGTACTTACCATGAAGGTGATATTCTAGAGTATTATTGGGAATAAATTCATAGACCAACATTCTTTGCCCGCCAGCAATAGAGTATCCAACAAGTGACACGAGATGGCGATGATGAACGCGACTAATGATGTCAATCTCCGCTTGGAACTCTCGCTCTCCTTGCCCGCTACCTGATTTTAGACTCTTAACGGCCACTTCCTTTCCATTAGGCAACACACCCTTATGGACATAACCAAAGCCACCTTGTCCTATCAAATTTATATCGGCAAATCCACTGGTGGCAGCTGCCAATTCTTCGTAAGTGAAAGTACCCCCTTTAAGGCCTAAAGCAAGACTTGGTGAGGGAGGAGGCAGAGGAGGTGGCCCCGTTGAGTAATTGGAGCTCATATCAGCACTATTCATTAATGGAGGAGGTGGTGGTGGTGCACCCCACCCGCCACCATTAGGACCCATTCCATTTTGTACTCTCACAACATGGTCCCCGTGTGGACCTCCATAATAATTTGGGTGTTGCCCACTGTTATTGTAATAGTTATTCCCTGTGTACATAATTTAGAGACCATTAATTATCAACATGTTATTAGTTGGATTTTGTCAAAAATCAATAGGGAAAAATTACAAATAAAGGGCATGTTACTGTCTTTAAAAAGAAAAACAAACATTTTGAAAGGATCCCAAATTTAATATCGTTAATATAAGTGCGATGAGTGTAGCATTGCCTTTTGTGTTTGAATATACAACACCATTCACACAAAACTCATTTGCAAGCCAAAAATATAACAAGGTACATGTATGGCAATTATTTAATCAGCAATTTTTTTTTTCTAACAAAGTGCTTACAAATATAATAATCAAAACCTTAAGATATATTGAAATAATAATAGAGTACATGTAAAAAAGAATTGGTGTAACTAAAATTATTTAATATTATCCTAAATTTTGATTGGTTATGTTCATAGATATTGTGTTTGATTAAGTACTTTTTAATTGTTATCATTCTTCAACTAAAAAAATGACATTTTAACTTGATAATTATTAATTTTATTTCAATTAGAATTATAAATAATTACTAAGATGGAATGTAGAAGAGTTAGATCGAAGAACAACACCAAAGTATAATTTTATCCTTTCTCATTTTTTAATAATTCGTAATACTTAGTGTCATTATTTGAACATTTAAAAAACAACATCATGTGTGACATTATATACAGTTACACATATCTCTGATTCGGTTTTATTTCTTTTAGTGTTCAAGACGAAGCATTTTCCATGATAAGCAATAGATAATAATAGAACTAATGTTAATCATACAGTCCATTTTCAATAATGTGTAAGAGGTAGGAAGAAGAGAAAGATAGAAAGAAAGAAAGAAAGAAAAAGAGAGAGAATAGACAAATATGTTATAGATGATACGACGAAATAACAAGAAACAGACCAAAAAATGAGATAAAATAAAGTGCAAGTGTATAGATATCATTGTTGTAATGACAACTTTGTTTGATTACCTTTTCCATGAGGAGGGTCTCCATAATAGTACATATTCTTTTTTTTCTTCTTCCTGGAGCAAACAACACAAACAATAACTACAATAAGAAGAACACTCCCTACCCCAAGCACCGCTCCAATTATGGCCTTATTGCTATCGTCTCCGCCACTAGACTTATGAGAGGATGGTGAGGATTCTAATGATTTGTGAGGAGATGGAGGTGATTGAGAGGAGGGTGGAGAATGTGTCGATGAAGGAGGAGAAGGAGAGTGCGAGGATGAACTGGGAGGTGGTGGGCTTGAATTGTTTGATGTTGGTGGGGGCGGAGAGGAGTTTCCTGAGGATGGTGGCGGTGGTGATGACGGTGGTGATGACAGTGGTGGTGGCGGTGATGATGATGATGATGATGGCGGTGGTGATGGTGGTGGTGGTGGTGACGCTGGTGGTGATGATGACGGTGGTGAAGATGAGTTGTCAGAGTCATCGGGGGTAGAGTTATCGGGTGTTGCATTATCGGGGGTTGAATCATCGGGAGAATTGTGAGGTGCGGCCGACATTGTTCTTCGTTCCTCAGAATTACATGAAGTGCTTAATTCTGGGTTCCGGCCAAAAGATTAGTGTAAAAAAAAAAAGCCACGTTGCCGGAAACACCACTTTTCTCCTAATTGCTCTTCCGATAATGGTTGGGACCCCTAAAAAACGAAGATTTTTAAAAGATATCAAGTTATGGTCAGAATCTCAATGCATGGAGATGAAGGTGACAGGATTAACCTTCACAAAAAACAAAAAACTGGGTTACTAGAATAATTTATGGTGCTTTTATTTTACATTAGTCATGATTGTAAAATTTAGTGTTCTATATTATGGGATTAAAGTCTTCTTGCTCAGCTTCTGATAAGAAAATTAATAGGAATATTTCTTATTTTCATGGAGGAAAGATACCTGAATGGAAGGTTGGCAGGGGTTCTCAACAAAAAGAAAAGAAAAACTTGTTGCGTGCTAAGAAGTCCACAATACAAAAGAAATTGTTGCTGTTTTTTCTCAATGGTCTCCAAGAAAGGAGGACCTTTACTTTTCTCAATCAATGCCTTTGTCTTTGCCTTGCCACCTCTTGCTTAGTTTGAGTCGGTTATAGGTTTTTCCATTTTTTGATTGGTGTTCCCTGTGTCATCCAATGTTTGGTCATAATTTGCTTAAAGGACAACGCTAACTTACAACACATTACCTTGAAATAGCTTACCAACTCAAAAGACACACACAATTCAACTAAAGATAACAATTTAATATTTAAAATACTTTGTTTTCAATGTAATGGAATGTAACAATTTGTACCAATAAATCATTTTGTATAATTTTTTTGGAGAAATAAATCTTCACAAATTACCTTACTAATTATTATATAATGTAAGCATTATTAACTTTAAAATGATGATAATTAATTAAACTAAAAGCAAACATCACACAAGTCTATGCATGCAATGCTATTATCAATTTTTTAAACAACAAGAAGAAAAATAATTAGAGGAGTACCCAACTCAAATACATACTTTTTTAGAGCATTGAGCCATACATATTATAAGATTAGTGTTTCAATCATAAAAATATTGCCAACATCTTATTTACTGTTTTTTAATAAAGAAATATTTACATACTTCTAATACAATTGTTTATTTATTATCAATAAATTTTATTTGGATTCTATTAAATAATAAACATGTTCATCAATACAATTCAAGTGAAATTTATTTAATAATAAAATATATATTAAGAAGAGTGCGTTAAAAATTATATGTCTGATAACTGTGTTTGTGTATATACATAGCTTTAAAGATTTTAATGTATTACCTTAAACAATTAAAATTGTACAAACAGCGATTGAACTTGAAAAAAATTATATCAACTAGCGGCCAAATTGACTAGCATGTCATATTAGACCAGTTGGGAAAGAAAATATTTTGTATATATAAAAATAAAAACATAAAAAATTTATTATTTTTATTTTAGATTATGTATATATAATTTAGATCATATGAAATTAAGTGTTAAATTTAATAAAGTAATATTTTATTATCTTTTATCAAAATTAAGTTTTATAATACAACAGTTGATCATTATAATATTGTTATGAAGATTACATGTATATAAATTTTATATAATTTAAATATTTATAGATATATATAATGAGTTTAATTTTGATATATTGTGAATGTAAAAATTTTTGCACTGTTAACCAATTATTAGAATATACATGAATATAAATTTTACTGATATCACAATCAAAGATCAGATATTAGTGTGTTTAGATTAAATTTATATATAATAAATTTAATTTAATACGTTGTTAATATATTTAAATTAAACTCATATGTATTTCGTATATTAAAATACAGCAGGCTGATAAAATATTAATTAGTATTTAAATTATGTAAAATTTTATAAATTTGATTTATTTTATACAATCTTAAAATATTAACCAGTTAAATTCATAAAATTTATATTTGATAAAAAAAATTATTTTTTTAATGAAATTCGAGACCTACTATTATTTAATTCTAAACCAAGTAATTATTGTTAGTCATAGCAACATATAATCTACTAATAATTCTGAACGCGAATTCAATCTGAATCGTGCACATAAGACGAATTTATCATTAAAGATTTTTTATATAATCAATGACTTTTAAAAATCTTACTTAACTGAACCTTCAATGTGTTTATATCGTATGATATATGCTGCAAAGTCTTCAAAGTGCTTAATTTTGTTCAAGTCATCAAGCTACTCTGGTTTTGATACAAAAATAAAAGGGCTGCTAATTTGTAAAAATAAATTAAGCAATATAGATGTTCTTAATTCCTAACTCGCTTTCACGTAAAATCCTTTTTACTTTATAAGGAACAAATTAAATATAATTTCTTCATTACACAAATAAAATTAACTGAATAAATATAATTTCTTTTTAAGAATATCACTATTCACTTGAATTTCTCCGCTTTTTAAAAATCACTCAAACATCACTTTTGTTTTTAAAAGCGAATTTAAATAAGTGATAATAATAAAGTTTTATTAAAAATATTTATTACAATTTATAATTTAAATATAATACATATATATATATATATATTATAATAAATATTACTTTTAATACATTCCTACGTTAAACCCATAATATTTATCCATCCAAATAAAGCCAACATGTTCAAAATAAGGAAAACTTGTAGTTATAATATTATAAATATTTTTAGTATTAATTTTTTAATTAAGATTTTAATTTTAATTTAATAATATTAATAATAATATTAATAATTTATTATCAAAATAAAACTCTAATTTTAATTCATAAATAATATAAACAGTGTTAAAAAACAATTAATTAGCATTTACGGTCATAATATTGTAACAAAAGGTAGTGGAAAACGACATAGAGATGGCGCCACCATATCCACAAGTGGAACGATAGAATAGTAGTGGCTCATAATACATACATTTATTATCCTATCGGAAAGCAAAAGAACCTAACCAAAACACTGATCGTTAGGAAGAGGAGCAGGGATGAAACCCTGATCAAGGTATTGCAAACCAAAGACAAGAACAATGGAAACTAATGCCAAATATGACAAACCTTCAACAGCACCCAACAACCCAAAAGGACCATTGGGCAAGCCAGAACCAGTTTTGGTTTTAGTGTACAAAGACCAACCCACTATGCCCACAACCACTAAGTAACTCACTCCTTCTAATGCACCAATAGACCCACCAGGGCCTGGGGGAAGGCCGCACCCTGTTGTTTTCAGTGTGTAGAGAGACCATGCAATCACTGGGGTTGAGATCAATCCTCCCACTATTGCTGCTTTCTCTGTAACGCCGTTACCCGTGTCACTGCCCTCCTTCGCCATGCCCACTATTTTCAGTGCCATATGAGACCTTGCCCTTCTAAGTGGCTGATTCATGTACTTAGTGGGTACATTGGAGCTTGATATTGGCGACAATAGTAGCATCCTTTAGGCTTCAATGCTACAAAAACTTGCCGCTCAGAGAGAAAGTGATAAAGTAGAGCACACTGTAACGAGGGGCTGGTGTTGTTTGACAGTGATGCTCGTAGGCGCAATTGAATAATTTTATATTAAAGAACCGATTTATAAATATAAGAAATTTTTAAAACATATTTATTTGGACAAACTTGTAATATTTTTAAAACATAAGCATTACAGTAAACTCACTGTCAATTTTAAAGTTAAAATTATTTACTAAAAACTAATTAACATAAACTTATTAATATATATAGTTCACATTTACTATAATTTTATCTAAGGTGGGAGATGTTATTACCGGAACCCGACCATCCATCTTTATATATAAAAGTAAAATTAATTACACTTTGCTGTTAAATATAACGTATATTTAACATAGATAAAATGTTAAATAACATGTATTTATTTGTTAAAATATATTTGTTATCTGTATGACTTTATATTATTAAAGTCTAGTAGAAAAATTATAATTAAACAAAAGAAAAACAATTGTTATGGATTTAAAATCCAAAAATCATAAACTGAAAATTATTATTATTCTGAATAAATTTAATTTATAAACAAAAGTAAAATTGATTATACTTTAGTATTAAATGCTATAATTACTAACGATAATATATAAATAAAATTATTAAACAACATAGTTATTAATTTAAATATATTTATTGTATGTGTGAAATTTCATATTAATAAATATTTTCTCTTCTCTAAACCGGATAAAAAGTATATCTCTTCTCTCCCGCACTAGGCAACATTCTATTTTCCTCCATCCTATTTACCAGTTCTCTCAGTATTGTGGATGTCTATCACTAATTTTAGTTGTTCTTGGGTAAGTTACTTTACTTTTCCCTAGTTTTGCTATTTGCACTTGGAACTCAGATAGGAAGCATGGCTTCCAATGTCATTTGCATTAACCAATCTTTGTGGTTAGGGGCGCTTAAATAAAAAAAATTTATAAGTAAGGAAGAAGAGTTAATAAAAAAAATTTAATTAAAAAAACTTTAAAATAATAGAATTAAATTTTTTTTATAAAAACCTCTCCCTTTTGTCTAAAATGTCACAGATGCACATAAACCGTCCTTTTCCATCGTTTTTTTCCCCTAAAAACTAAACACAATCTTATGTTCCTCTTTGAGAATTTATTTACTGCACTTGGACTTAAGCTCCCCTTTTATCCTTTAAAATGGGAATACTATGTCATTTGTTGGTAATCTACCGAGTTTTGAACAAAGAAATCAAATGGTATGAAACGAGTTTGTGTCAAGTCAACTATAAGCGTGTAATAGGAGGGATATATGATTCTAGAAATAATCGCAGCACAATTCACACCTCTGAAACAAATCGAATGACGTAAAGGATATATATACAATAGTATACATAAGAAGAAACGGGCTCAATTTGTTTGTCCACAACGATTTAGATTCATTCATTGATCTTCAGTGCTCCGGATAACCCGGCATTATCTTAGGTGACTGAACTAATCGAACATTTGAAGGCCCAGATGAAGGGGGAGCTGAGAACGGCCTCATAACAGAGCTTGCTCTTGAAGCGGGAGGACTGCAAAGTTGGCTTGATTTTAGAGAGCCACCGCTAGCAGCACCATTTGTGTCCTCTGCCATGTGTTCAGGATGTTGCTGTTTAAACTGCAATCCATCAATATCCATTCCTTGTAAAACACTCTGATGATTGTGTGTCCCACTTGGAGGCTGGGATTGCCAAAATGTTGACTGTTGATTCAGTGTGGAATGGCTTGCACGAACATTGCTTTTACCTTCAGCCTCATCCTTTCCTCTGGACTGGTGAACCATGACTGAAATCTCATTAGGTTTGCTGGGTTTAATTTCTGGCAACTTTTCTGAGTCCAAAGATGAAATGACCTCTACAGCATCAACTTTAGCTGTTGAAGATCGACTGGCAGCAATTATAGTAGTGGGAAATGCTCTCTCAGGAGGAACGGCTGGGGTGTAATTCGAGGGAAGCAAATCATCCCAATTCTCTAATAGTTCCTTGTACACCTTTCGGAGAGTGACTTCAGTAAGACCAGTTACCTTACAAATTTCAGCTTGAGTTTTGCGTTTGTCTTCAAGTTGGCAAGCCAGATATATAGCAGCGGCTGAGATGCTAATTGGATTCCTGCGAGTGCAGAAGCACTTGTTGATCACCACCTCTCCTATGTGAGTAGCCAGTTCCTAAAATACAACGTAGGAGCCAATCTCAGAATTTTGTAACATGAAACGGAGCAAAAGAATGCACCTAAGTTGATCCTTAGACAAGTCTAATTGAATGTCCATCAATGCAACAAGCACCCATTACCGATACCAAAATCTTATTCTGTAGAGCTTGCTGGTTGATAAAAAGAACACAAACAGCAACAAAATGTAGAACATTGCAAATGTGGGAACAGATGTGTGATGTGAAAGCTGTCTTCGATTCCCCACCCAAAAAAGAGGGGAAAAAAAAAATCCACATAGCAGTTATTCCAAACATATACCTAATTGTATCATGGCATAATTCGAAGGCTTCTGTTTGCAAGCACATAGCAACATTTCAACATGTTCAAAATGTTGAAGCTGTAAAATTTCACAGCGATTGCAGGTACCTGAGCAGATTTATTGAGCTGAAGAAGAGTGCAAAATCTTGGCATATGAACTGAAATGGAATTGCTGTTAATAGGTTGACTTAGCTGCAAAGCCTCTCCCAGTATCTTGATGTATTTCCCAATTTCCTTTTGTGGCACATTCGCTGCAATTGAAATTTCCTGCCATATCACACAAGCAGCAATGTTAGACACGTTCAGCAAACGCAAATGCTGCTTGTTAAGTAGAAACGATTATTCACAAATCCCTAGAAATGACCATTGATTTTCATTCCGCGTACGCACATATTAATTTAGAAGACATATATTACAACAGAATAAATAGAAATTCAGCAGAAACGTTATGACCTGAAGAGTTCTCGGCTCTTGAGCCTCTCTAATGGCCTGAACGAGAGCAGCAGTGGCAAGCGCCTCCACACTGCGATTTCTCAGACAAGTAGCGGAGCAACAATCCCTGAATAACTGAAAAGCATGGTCGGAAATATCGCAATCTAACCCTAGAATTGACCCTACATCAATAATCTGCATGTAAGCTCTCAAGTTATCGACCACGACGGTAGATGAGGAAGAGGAAGAAGAGGAAGAGGAGGAGGAGGAAGATTCGAGAGTGCGTTCGAGCTCGGCTAGGTGACCCGAGAAGGAGAGAGAGGACTGAAGGTAAAGTGGGCTGGGCTCGAGGGACCATGTGGAGAAGGCGGTGATGAAGCCCGTGGGCTCGAATGGGTCCTCGTCGTTTTGATGGAGGGTGGGGAGAGGGAGATCCGATGTGACCAGGCACAGAGGGTTATCTTGGGCGCGCAGGTGAAACACGTGGTGGGGATGCGATTGTCGCTCTTCCACCACGCGCCCGCAAGACGTGCACTCCGTGATGAAGCGCCCCGAGCTCGTGGTGGCGCAACGCCCCTGCGCCGCCGTGCAGTACGGGCACTTCATTTTTTTCTACTGCTTCTTGAATGCGCCTGCTTGTTTGGTCCCTTATTTGTACCTATCCAATCCAGTCAATGCCACCAATGGGCCTCATATCACTCGCATACTTGGAAATTAAATTCGTTTTGCTTTTCAAATACTTCTCTATCCAAACTTGCGCATTCCCTGGCCTGTTTTATGTTGTATTCCAGAAATTTTGGTTAAGATATTTTTATTTGGGCGTAAAATAAAATGTAATCCAAACATGAGCTTGAACATGAGCTTGAATCAAATTCTAATAAAGTAATATGCATACAGATATTCCGTGTTACACTGGTACCCCAGTTCGGCTTATCTTGCCTGATAATTTCTTTTTCCCTTTCAACGTGGAATCACCTTTTTACCATTAATTAACATAATCTTTTAACATTATATAACTCAAGAAAGGGGAATAATTTTTTGTATGCTGGCCATGCTGATTTGCTGTAGTCAAGAAAGAAACGTACTTATAGAAATAAGGGAGATTTAGAATTTAGTTGCTGTGAAATAAACCTAAAAAAACACATGCTAAGTTGAAATTGTCTGCTCAAAAGGTCGTGTTTCAATTTACTACTCCTCACTTCGTGAAGACCTTGAATTTGACAGCAAAATTTGAAAGAACCACGGCCTATTAAAATACATAATTATCCCTGTTATGAAGCATGAAAATCCGAGTACAACTTCGTCCATCTCTATCTCTTCACGATCTTCTGGTAGCACTCGAGCATTTTCAAGTATGAGCCAGATGCTTGAATGCTCCACAAACTAACATTCAAGCACGCCTAGAGTGTGCTCCTTCTTTTACTTTCTCAACTTGCTTGAGGTTCTTGCTAAATTCCCGGGCACTCTGAAATGGCACAAAGTGAAGACATAAGGCAAAGAATGTATGCACTAGTGTGATATATTTCAATTAGAGACTGAGCTAAGGTTTCACATATTTTACTGACAACATTTGTTTACAAAAAATATCATAGCCAATCAAACATTCACAATTCTACAAAAAAATGAACTCCAATATCTATACAAGCAAGCTCTCATCTAACTCACTTTTTTTTTTCAAAAGAAAAAAAATGTCTAAACTTTAAACCATACAAACCCTAAACAATCATAGTCAAACAATTGAGACAAGGAAGTATCAATTGATTCACATCAATATACCCACATAATTATGAAAACTACCCTACATTAAAATTACAATTGCTTCTCTGCTTTCTGCAAATGCTTCTACTACCCTTGAGAGTCACATGAGGATCATACAACCTAAATTAACTACTGAAGGCAGAAAATTGACAGACATATAAAAGCAAAAATAGCAACACAAGAAAGTCAATCTATAAACCATCAATATCCTTTTTTGGAAAAAGAAAAGGAGTCTCTGTCCTCCTAACCACACTATCATCATCTTTATTTGAATGTCCCAATTCAACAATGTAGCTGACAGCCAATCTCTTTCAATTATATATAATGGCATAGACAGGCCAAACAAATCCATCACTTATCCACTTTAGGGAAAAAATGGGGCAAAGCTGCACTTCTAATCTCAGTTTCTCAGAAGTTCAAGAATGCATGAAGTGCCATAAAAGGGATTGAAGAGCAGGAGTGAAGAGGAGGGTAAAAAAAAAAAAAATTACTAAAGGGAATGGTTCCATTGGGATTGGCTGTACCTAGAAGGTCTTTCTTCTCCTTTTCATATTCTTCTTGTTTTTACTTACCTAAAGTTTCCAGAATATCTTCTCTAGTGTAAGGAGCATAGCTTTATTTCTCTACTAACCAATAAAGCTCCTAACAGAACCCCTGCTTCTTAGCTGTGAAAAAAGCATACCCTAATACACATTCCTTAAATTTTAGGGTGACCGTGAGTAGCCAGCCACCATGAACTTTTAATTCTGTCAATAAAACTTTCAAATAGTGAAATAATCTGAATCTAACTAACAATTTCTCATAATCAATGACAATTTGTCAATTCAAAGAATTATCTTTGAAGAAAAATAATAGTTTTGAGAACTTTTCCTTATATTTGATACTTAACCAAATAAAAAGTATTTAAATACTCTATTATTTTCATATGATGTGGATTGTGAGATTGACATGGACAAATTGGTGATGACAAGTATATTAGTCATCATACGAATTAATGGAAACTGTTCAAAAAGAATGATGGATGGATCTATCACAACATTTTTTTAGACCCCTCCAAGTACAAGAGTTTTGCTCATTGTTTTCCAAACCGATGCATGTTGGGTCCCTTTTCATTAACTGCTGACAGAGCCCTCTCATTGCTAACATGGAGTTGTGCCATGTCATCTCCATGTTTGCAAAGATAATGACATGGCAAGTAAGAAAAACAAGAGTTGTATCACCCACTTTGCTCAACATGGCATTACCATTGTAATGCAGAGGTCGCAAAACCATGGATGGACTACTTTGCAACAACTCCAAAACAAGGACGGGAAGATTCTTGAAAATGGGAGCAGCAGGACCGAAATTGAACTTTGTCAAACACAAGGAACCAAAAGTGTAACTAAACCAGATAGGAAAGACCCATAAAGCTTATGTTGCATTGGGACAACCATGCTGTCAAAACATCTACTTCAATAAGGGCTTCTCAAAGGGGATCATCCCAATTCATCATGGTTATTCAACAAGGTTTACAGGTGTAAGATCACCAATCTCCCATGAAACCTTTAAAAGAGTTGCATATGAATAATGAGTGAATACTGTTGCCATTTGTATGAAGAAACAAGGAGTAATTAGTTTGCAGGGCTTAAAAATACACATTCAGCTAAGTTATTGTATTTTCACTGTTTGAACAAGTCACCCGAACCACGGGAATTATGTAGCAGACATTTTTCATGCTCTTAGTTGTATTTGGTCTGGTTTGTTATAAAGGATAAATCCTCGTCCCCAAAGTTGTATTTTAGCTCTTCTCAAATTACCACAAGGCCAGATGTCCCACACACAAAAACCTTTTCAAGGAAAAAGAAAGAGGGAAGGGGTTTGGGAGGGGGAGGAGAGGAGGAGTATCGTTACTTTGTTAGATAATGGTTTGACCAGACTTCTTGAAGATAAAGATGTTACTAAGTAAATTATTGCACCAACATCAATTCAACCTATCAAAGCAACAAGAAAGAGAAACCTAAATCAGCAAGATCTCCATTGGCACAATGAAATAACACCGTTAAAGAAAACTTTCAACACATAAACCTGCTTCAAAGTTCAAACTGATGACACCATAACACCATATTATGCAAACACTGGCGCTATACTGCTATTTATTACAGAGTATTTTAAACCAGATAAGCATGACCATACGCGTGTAATAGAAGGTAAAAGTCGTTCCCTAACAGGTAGATTCACATAATTTCGGCTTCAAATTGTTCAGATCCTTCCTCATGCAAAATAATCAATGTACAAAAATGCACGAGATTTCCTACTCAGAAAATGCTTTACATAATCCCATATGCAACAAAGCTAATGACAGGGACAACATTGCAAACAGCACTTATCACTAGGTCATTTGAGTTTGATCAGCACCATAAACTTTCCTATGAAGAAGAAGAAGAACGAACCGTAGATTGGACAGGAGGTGGATCAAAATGAATGGAGCGAATAGACATCTTGGCGATCTCGGTGATGGCAGCGTCTCTAACCTCACCAACATCACTGCTCAATTCTTCATAAGCAGCCTCGAACGCCTCTTGCCAGAACCTCGGTAACCTGATCCTGCGACTGTTGGTGTAAACATCCCACATGTGCCTCACCACCTTCTCCCTCTCCTCCATTTCCTGCACAATACAAAACGCATCAAGACGACATCGCACCACCGAATTCACACAAAGAATGAGAGATAAAAGGAGAAAAACTCACGAGAACATCGAGGTCGTCGTGGATGGGAGTGTCGATGTCGTTTGACAAGGAATTGAGAGTACCGGACCAGCGAAGAGAGACGGTGCCGGTGAACATGGACCAAAACGCGAGAAGCAATATGGCCGCTAAGGCCCAGAATTTATACCTCCCTTTCCCAAACAGGCCCGAATCCCATTGTTCCTTTTTCATACTCGCCGTTGTGGTTGGAAGCCCATCCTCATCCTTCATTTCTTGCACGATCTAATCAATAATCTCCAATGAAAATTAAGGTAATGTCACCAGTCTTTTTTTAATTTTAATTTTGTTTCCCTATTTGCCTTGTGGATGCTGCAGAGGCTTCAGCTTCATCGCTTTCGGACTCAGATTTGCAAAAGGAAATTGAGTCCGATCTGATAATGCGAATGCGAATCGATGTGATGTTAGTATGGTACACTGCGATGTGCGATACCAATACGAGAAATGACGGATTTGGCTTGGTGTACTGTTTCCTTAAGGGTCAATGTACCTCCTGTGGGCCACCACTATTTCTTTTGATTTCTTTGACTTTGGTCTCATCCGATGTGGGATAACGCGCACCGTCCATTCCACTCTTCCTCTCAGAGGCAGGCAACCGACACTAGACGGCAACGTTTTAACACGCATTCCATCAAGGCATGGAATTTACTATATTACCCAGTTATTTTTTGTTAAACTCTGTTCACATTGATTAATTAAATAATTGCATTTCATATCTAAATTATTTAAAAGGAGATAAGAGATAGTTTAGAAAAGATAAAATTGAACAAAATCTAATGAAATATATTTCATCAAATGTTGTTCCTTTTCGATTTAGGAGTGATAGGTGAATTATTTATTTATTTTATTATAAAATAATTAATAATAATTTTACTGGACTCGGTTTTATTTTACTTCATTTTATACAATTTTTTTATTTTACTAATTATTAGATATCCAAATGTATTCTTCCAAAAGCCTTAATTAATTAAACAGGTGTAATACACAATTTGTTAACGCTTCATTTATAAATATTATGCAAGTCGGATTTTCAAAAGTTTCACTTAGTCGAGTTGTAAGTTGTGAAAAGAAAATACGTTAATTCAATCTCATAATGTATCTAATTCCTTTTCCGTCTCAAAATCAATTCTTAATAAATTTCTTTTTAAAATCCAACTTACATTTATATATAGTAGGGATAAGAAAATTACTCAAGTAAAAATAATTTAATATTATATAAAACAAGAACAATATGAGTAATTTATGAATCATAATTTTAAACTAGAGTATTTTTATGAAATTATTTTAAATGGAAATTTTTTTGAGTGTCAATTTTTTTATTACATCACGTGACTTTTTATGGATTGAATTTTTATGTGTTTTAGTTTAATCTTAATTTATATTTTACTTTTTTAATTTAATTTAATAGAATATAATTATATAATTAAAATATTTATTTTATAAAAAATGCTAAATTTTAAAATATCTATAAAATATACCTTTAATTTTATTATACACGTGCAATACAAGAAAAGTTTACTAATTTTAGTAAAATTGATTGAATTTTTTAATTTGCATATTATTTTTTAAATAGATAAATAGAAACAAAAGTAGTAGTAATAATAATAATAATAATAATAATAATAAAAGTCAATATTTGACAATAAATAGATAATATTAAATAATAGTTTTAATTCCAACAAAAAACGCATATAATGTTATGTAATATTTACATTTAATGTAAATATACCACTGTTGAAATATGCAAAATCTTTCTCTAATTACAAGTGAAGGGAAATTTTGAGAGAAAAAAAAGTTGTTAATTGATTTTACAAAGATTACAAATACTTTGAAATGCATGGGTATGTGCATATTTCTAAATCAGTATTCCATCAATCTGTTGTGGAATCAACATTAGCTTCATGTTTGTCATTACATAATATAAATACAATACTTAGTTTTTTTATTTTTGGACAAAATTAGATATACTTATTCGATTACAAAGTATTTGATGTCTTTCCTAAGTTGGATGGAGGCAAAAAGCCTTCAGCAGTTAAACCCCGTATATTAAAATCTACTTCATCGATTTTCCATCTCTCTTCTAATTCTCTTTTATGATTAGATGATTGTTCACCATATCTAGAAACTGTAACTCGAGTCTTGCCACTGTGTGACACGTTTATTCCATCCACATACTTATAATCCTCAATTACCGATTCTAAACTTGTTTCCCAGAAAATATCATTGTCATCTTTGGTTCTCATTGTAAGTAATCTAGAGTCTTCGAATTGAACTAAGAGACCAGATCGTTGGCTGAAATAGCCCCATATAGTGTGGTGGATGATCTCAAAGTTTGGTCCGCTTTGAGCGTCACGAATTGCTGGACTTGTCTCCAACTTTAGGATGAAGCACTCTTCTTCATTGATTATTTTCTCTCCTATGCACGCCGCATCTAAAAATAAATTAGCTGTGGCCCTTGGATCCAGTCCCTAATAAACAAACATTCCAAAATTTGCAATCGTCGACAATCAGGTGGAAACAAGAAATATACTATGTACTTAAATGCATAGTGTTAACAAAAAATATACCAGTATTATGAATAATTTGTGTGTTATTTTTTAAGTAATTCATACAATAAAAAATAATATTAAAGATCAATACAAGTTATTGAAATAAAACTTTAATATTAAACAGAGAACCAAGTAGAACATTCTTATACCAAGTTTCTTTCTCATAAAAAATATTGTATCTATAATATAAATCAACGTTAAATTACATGCTATGCAACTAGGAAGTTGCATATTGAGATTAATATACCTGAAGAAAACGACGAAGTGGTCGAGGAGCACCTTTTGAAACGGGTGTTTGTTGGTTAGAAGAATGGCGCCACGAGACCTTGCCATTGCTACCACAACAAACCTTGCAACCTGCGAGAACGAGCTCTAAACACCACAAATCTGGGTCCTTCTGCCATATAACGAAGCCTCCAATCTCTTCGGAGGTTTTCTTTACCTCAATGCTTTCACTAGTCGCGTAAAAATCTGATGCACTAATCTTCACCTGCCCAGTCACACACATACTCTCCACTGCATTCAATGCTGGTTGTCCTCCCGTCGCCGCTATATATTGTTGCACTATATACTTTGCCGTTGATGCTTCCTACAATACAATTAATCAATAGATAAAAAAGAAAGTTAAAGAAAAAAAAAAGATTTTTTTAATTAAAAAGTAAAGCATTTATTATATCATAGACAAATTTATGAAGTGATGATATATGCATAATTTAATTTCCCTTTTAACTCATGGATTAAAAAAAGTGTACGTTGATGTTCTTACAATGGAACAATCTCTGACTGGTCGATGGACAGAATGGCCTAGTTGGACCTGAAGAGGGATAAGAGGAGATCCAACAAGGTAAAGCAAAAAACGAAGCTCATTTAAGCGTGATGCAACGGTTGGGGTTGCCAATTTATCCTCTGTTTGACCCCTCATCCATGATAACATGTTCTGCCACCGCACTGTCACATTGTTTCCCATGGTTGCAAACATTTCTTCGGGTATTGGTATTTCAAGAACGGTCTCCAATCCATCCTCTCTATCTATGTTCGGACAAAGCCTCCTCAGGGATGACTTTGCGGCTGCCTGTTTCATCAGTGAGTTTGGGTCTTTGGTTTATGTTTTTATTTCAAGGTGTTAAGAGAGACAGGGTACGAGGAAGACGTTGATTGAAGATGTAAGACAAGTAAAGAAGAAAAGAAAAGGAAGAGCGCCAAAGTCAAAGGCTAAACACCTTTGTATGTGATTCCACCTGTGGAGAGGAAACATGCAGCTATCTGGGGACCAGAATGAGAGAGTGGGTGAAAGTGTACATTTGCCTAAGGGCTCTCCTTTCTTGTAGCTATTGTGTGGGTACAACTTGTGGTTGATTTTTTTTTTCTTTGACTCTCTATTTAAAGATTTAATTCATAATTTTTGCAAATCTCTATTAATTAAGCCTTCATATGTTAATTGTATATTTGGTTTATCATTTCCATGATTAAATCTATATTAATGTCAAAGAAACAATTAAAACTAGACAATATATCGAATAATATTCCTGTTAACACACAACAATTTTATATTTGTTGTGCATATTGAAAAAAACTTAACACTTAAAATAGTGCTATTTTGATTAATATGGTTCTCTATTTTTGAGAACCGTCAAATTTATGAATTTGGTTGGTTGTTTCACAGGCTGTATAAAGGTGGTTGTAAGTGTCAAATAGTTCAATTAAGCCTTGATGTTTGGTACACACGTATACACACACAGTGTAACTGTAAATAGAAGATAACTTCACATGATGGATTTTTACAATAGTATAATGCTATTCTTATTAAAAGAATTATTATAACACTTTTTATAATTTTTTTTCTATCACATTATTTACTTTATCTCATTTTTTCTCTTGCTATTATTAAATATATTATGAGAATGGTACGTGAAAATAAAAATGTTATTCTATGTTCTGTATTTATAAAGATTATACTATTAGAAGATAGAAATGACTAAAATACAAGTTACATATTACTATTGAAGCATATGAGGAGGTAAAAATATTTAAAATACTACTCAAATCCAAAATTTTAAAACTTGAGTTATAAATCTTTATCATTTATATGTTACTTATTTTTTTTATTTAATATAGAATTCCTTCCCACACACTGTCTTAAAAAGATATTACCATAATAGAGAGTACTACCCATGCAATGAATTGGAAAATTGTTGATATTCAATTGCTTTATCTAAACTAAAACCCACTATTGCGAACTGGGGGTAAAAACACAAACAATCCAAGTATGCGCGCGCGCGCACTAGCTGTTGCCAACGATAATTTTCCCTTAAGAACATTGATCTCAAATCTATCCCTTGATGGATGTTGCCAATACCTATTTATGTATGGCCATCGATTGGGAACATCAGGAAAAGACAATAAAATGATTGAATTCTGTGAAAAATAATAGGTGAACAAACTGGATCATCTACAATATCAGAGATGTGAAAACGACATTTTCCAATTGGAAGGAACAAAACCTTAACAAGATACATAAATGATGAATATGTCGATAGTCATTCAAATGTAATCATGAAAATCAAACTTTTAGATAACTTCTTAACAAGTTTTAGCCATCCAAGATTTTTACAACAAACTTCACCAGAGAGAATATACACTATACATTCTGCCTCAGATTAATTGGTTTGGTTTCTGTAGCTACATTCCTACGGTGGCATGTACTGAAAAGCATCTCCATCTCTTCCAAGGACTTACCTTTTGTCTCAGGCAGGAAAAAGTAGAAAAACAACCAAGCTAATACAGATATACCCGCAAACATGAAAAAGCTCCCACCAATAGTGATTGCTTTGTAGATTGAAATAAAACTCATGGAAACAGCAGCATTCATGACCCTATTCACTGCAACTCCAATGCTTGCTCCTTGTGCTCTCAACTTCAAAGGAAAAATCTCTGAACTATAGACCCATGTAACAGGACCCAGCCCAATATTAAAAAATGCAACAAAGGCATAAGTAGCCACAATGCTAAGGGTCAAGGCCCACACAAGCTTTTCTTGGGAATTATCCACCACGGTCAAGCTGAATCCTAACACCAAAAGCCCACAAACCATTCCTCCTGTGCTTATAAGCAAGAGACGTCTTCTTCCAACTCTATCAAGCAAAAATGTTGCTAATATCAGGAAAATAATTTTTGTAAGACCCACTCCAATAGTGGTCAACAAGAGCTTGTCCTTACTAGTAACACCTGCTTTTTTGAAGATTCTTTGACTATATAGCATCACAGCTTCTATTCCAGTTGCATGCTCGAAGAAGTGAATCCCCACAGCTGCAATCAGCATCCAACGAACTGAACTAGAGGGCCTCACAAGCAACTCTTTCCAAACCCCTTCACCATGGTTCTTTTGAGTGACCTTAACTGTCTCTTCTTGGCAATTCTCGTCAATCCCAGAAGCAATTTTTATATCCTTGAAGCGAAGTTCGGCTTCTTGTTCGGTATTTGAAACTTGCAATAAAACCTTCTTGGCTTTTCCTAAATGCCCTTGCATCACCAACCACCGTGGAGATTCTGGCATTGTGAGAATTCCCATAGCCAATGCAAGTGAAGGGATTGCTGCAATACCTAGCATCAATCTCCATCCAAGCTTCAAAGTCAATTTCCCTAATAAGTAGTTAGCAATGTAACCAAGTAAAATCCCAATACCAATACAAAGCTCTGGCAGGGAAGATAGAAAGCCTCTAGATTTAGCAGAGGAGATTTCTACCGAATAAACTGGCGCTATCAAAAGAGCAAAACCCACGCCAATTCCAGCAACACACCTTCCCAACATTAAAATTGCATAGTTTGGGCCATATCCCATTAGAACTGAACCAACCATGAAAAGGACAGAGGCTAACGCAATTGTGTAGCGTCGACCAATGTAATCAGAGGTTCTACCAGCTATTAAGGATCCTACCAGTGCACAAAGGTTTAAGATTCCTGCTAGAACTTCTTGCTGGGTGTCGCTGATTTTGAGCTCGTCCTTTATGAATATCATGGCTCCACTCATAACACCCGTATCTGAAGTCAGGTAGGTAAGTATTGTTAGTTCTGTTGCAAGGCATGCATTTATCTAAAATGTTTTATGTGACAGGGTAAATACACATAATTTTGATTTGGCAAAAAACAACATTGTACCACACAAATACTTGTTTGGTTTTGTGATTGGTTTTAAAAATAGGTGAAAAAAAAAAAACAAATTGAAAGTTGAAGCACAAAATATAAAATTAAATATTTATTATTCATTGAAATTGGAGACAACGTAATGGTATCCAACAGTTAAAAATATGCTTATTATTGTGATTTAATCAAATAATAAAGTAAGAGAAACATGCATAATTTTTAAACAAAAAATGATATGATGATCAGTAATTAAAAAAATGTCAATGCATGCAGTAATCCCCTGTATATGCTAATATTAAAGGGAAAAATTGTTCTCCTTCAGGAAACATATATATATATATATATATATATATATATATATATACACACACAACACCATGAGTTGCAAAGATAACAAAATTAATGAAATTGAAAAAAGAAAAAGTAAAAGAAATAAGTGGGAGAGAATTGAATGTTACCATAACCAAATATAATAGATATCATGGAAGCAACAACCGCACATGCAAAAGCATATTTGTTGAACCTGTGTTCTACATCGCCACCCCCCTCCATGGTAAATGCTAAATGGCCTTCTCTTCCTCTTTCGCTACCTTTCCTTAGACAAGTAATAAATGTTCTTCTTCTCTCTCGCTTCTCAGTAAGTCTTAGATCATATATAACTTTTAGATTCCGTCAATGAAACGCATTATCTTAAATTGAGCCTGTTTTATATGATAGTAGACGATGATGACATGACTCAGCGGGGTTTCAACTTAATCTTGTTAGACACTTGCCAGAAAGATTTGATGCTATATATGAACTAACTGAGACAACAAAAATGACAGCATGTGGATGCTAAAGTTAGGCAATAGTTCTTGACGGACACGCTGTGACCGTAGCCTAACGATTCTCCGATCCCTGTCCAAAACGCTGAGACAACAGTAATTTAAATCTTCATAATTATGTAACAATATTAATAGTACAATATTATATAGAGCGAAACAACGAAGTGCTGCAAATTAAGGTTTGTATTTGGCGAAGGAAATACACGCTCTCTAATTTTTACGTTCATTCTGTTGAATTGAACGACCAATGAGAGTTGGGGTTGAAATTCCGTCAATGTCGACGTTTTACTAACGGTCATAGGGTTCGTTGGTAATTGGTATGCCTCTTGCCTTGGAAACTGTTAAACTGTTAAACTGTTAGTTATTTTGGATAAGGATCTAATGTTGCCGGACATGATTATCATATTCATCCTTAACTAGCCCTCCGGTTCATATGCTACTGATCAGGATCCTTCTCTCTTTGATCGTCAAGTCCAGCTAGCCACAAGAAAATGTTAATTAAGTGATCATTATATTATCAACCACTCTAATGAGTTATGATTAATCTATATAAGAACTTCTAAACAGATAGTATATAGTGTCATAGTGACAGTAACCAATCATTCCATTATTTTTCAGTATCCTAAAACTAATAAAGATAATAATAATAACTTAGATTTAGGAACAAATTAACGGAAATGTGTTACTTTCTTGTTATAAAAATAACGATATGCAACCTTCATTATTTATAGGGCACTATTTAAGCACTGGAAACCTTCGATATTTTTTTAAAAAATTGCAAAATTATTATTTTTTGTATTTTTTATACAACAAAGACATTTTTAATAAAATATTTTTACTCTTATTTTCTTAATTGATATTCTTAGAACCTTTGTTAACATTTTTCCTCACGTAATCATTTTCTTACAAAAGGTTAGGTGATGCTCCATTGTTTAATTTGTGTACCAATTTACAGTTCTTGAAACAAAAAAATTTAAGTGTAGTATTTTTTTTTTTTTTTATTTTAATTAAAATCAAAATTTTATTTTAATAATATACATAATAAAAATTGACATTAAAAGTTTAAAAGATTATGAAATTGTAATTTTATTTAAAGAATAACATTAAAACAATATTCTATACTTTATATTTAACTTTAATGCTCATTGAAAATAGCACATGTCGGTGGGAGCAACTTTTTTCTAGATACGAATCTTCTCTAGTTTTCTCTAATTTGGTTTACGAGAAAACAGGACTGTTCACTCTCAATTTCCTTAAGCAAATCTTAATTACGAATCTTAAGAGAAAGTTAAACCCAAAATTCAGTTTTATTTTCATTCTTACAAAGCGAATCAATAAAGAGAGACTCTAAAAAAGAAGAAGAAAAAAAATGAAAAGATGAAACAAAAACTAACAAAATGTAAAAAAAAATAAAAAATTAACATTCTCCTAGAAAACGAAAGATGAGTTAATCATCATCACCAACACAAATTCACACTTCCCAAACAACTCCACTGTTTATTCATTGATTAGAAGAGCTTCTTCTTCTTTGAGTGTGCGTGTGCACACACCAAAAAATGGGCATTGGTGCAATGGAAAGTGAAGGGTACACCGTGCTGAAGGATTTGAGATTGGAAATTGAAGTAAAAGAGGAAACTTTTTCTCTCTACTTTTGAGTATATTTGGTGAGTTCACTACATTCCTTGTTACCATTATCCATTCAAAAAATATAACCTTTTGTTCTTTTATATTTTTGCTGAAGCCATCTTTTGTTTTCTACAATAATATTAAAGTTCAATTTTTTTAAAGATTTTGTTAGTTGATTGTTTCTTTTTTCTTAGAGTCACTCTTTTTTGGATCTTTTTACTTATGTAAAAATGAAACTAAACTTGTCGCGTAAATTAAAGAGAATTCAAATACTGTTTTCACCTGTAATTAAACTTGGAATTGATGGATTTATCATCATTGTTGCTATCATATTAAAACGTTATGATTTTAAGTTTAGTGGGCTTAGTTGTCATCGAGCCTTGTTTTTATTTGGTGACTAAAACTAAAAGATGCACCCAAATCCCAATTGAGCATGGGGAGTCTTTACTTACACGAGTAAAGGCAGAAAAATATCAAAACCTAGGAGGAGGCTACGTGCCTGTACTTCTTGGGACTCTTGGCTACTTGGCCCAAAAAAGGGATGCATTTATAAAATTCCAAAATACACGCATCTTCACCCCTCTGGTTATCTTCATTGGAGTATGCCGCCAACAAGTTCTCAGTTCTCACACGTAGCAAATCGTGGACGAAAAGGGATTGTGAAAATTCGATGATTTTATCACTAACTCCGACCACTGTTTTGATCTTGCATTTGTCATTACTTTCTCCATTTACTCTATTTCTGTTTTTCCTTTCCCAAAAAGTTTCTTTGCATTTGTGTTAAAGCTGGATGGTGCAACAAAGGAACTCATTTGGTGTCTACGGCAGGGAAGAGCTTTATCGAAGTTTAGGGATCACTATGCATGCCGCGATAAGGACTTGGAAGAAAAGCCAACCTCTGATCTAAACTTTATGGCTATATGGTAAGGGCAAATTAATATGATTCCTACGTTTTATTATAAACCAGTGAGCCTCATCAGTTTTGCCTTAGTCTCAAAGGTTTGTTTGCATAACCATACATTTAAGGTGCATTTGTTTAAATTATTTGAAGAAATACTTGCTTATTTATGATTCAACCTCATTAAATAAGATGCATGCGTCTCAAAAAATTTCTACACAAGGTAAAAATGTGTATTTGGTTTAAATTATTTGAAAAAAATAGTTGCTTATTCATATAACTTTTTTATTGTGTTTTTTAGTCTGATTATTGTTCAAAATTCTCATACAAGCACAAGAAAACATGCTTAAAGATGGAATTGGAAGAACTTTATTATTAATATTTTTCATTAAAAAAGAATAAAGATATTTGATGAAGTGAATGTTTTTCACTATTAATTATTTATATTTCTTTTACAAAATAAATATTTATTATCTTTCAAAAAAAGAGTATCATATCATTATTAATATTATTTTTTATTTTACGTATCTCAAAGTCTTAATTATAAATTCATTATTAAATAGAACAACGCTATATACGACAAAATATTATAATACGAGATCAGCACGAAATATGGTGGTAAAACTGGTAATGCGTTTTTATTTTTTTGCACGTAATTTATATAAATTTATTCACTGCACTCCATTTCTCTTTATTCAGCAATATCAACAGCACACTAGCACAGCAACTACCATTACTTTAATCAGCATTCAGCTACCCTTTTCTTTGGTCAACACTCTAATCAGCAACAAGTCTTTTAGCAGGTGAATTACAACGCCTGGTTAAAATTAATATTTTTGGTCTTTCACTTTTTCTTGCCACCTATTACAGTGTGAAGATTCTAAAATGTTGGTACAAAGAAGTGATAAAGATTCACGACCGAGTTCATTTTTTATTTCTTTCTTCTACGGATCACATTTTTCATGCCTATGAACCATTTTCTTTCTCTTCCAAATACTGTATCTCAACTACAATACACTGATACAAATTACGCATTCTGTCTCAGATCAGTTTGTGCAGCTTTATTTCTACTAGACTTTTGGCCGAAAACCATCTCCATCTCTTCCAAGGCCCTGCCCTTGGTTTCAGGCAGGAAAAAACAGAAGAACAACCAAGCTAATATGGAAATACCAGCAAACATGAAAAAGCTCCCACCAATGGTGATTGCTTTGTAGATTGAAATAAAACTCATGGAAACAGCAGCATTCATGACCCTGTTCACTGCAACTCCAATGCTTGCTCCTTGTGCTCTCAACTTCAAAGGAAAAATCTCTGAACTATAGACCCATGTAACAGGACCCAGCCCAATATTAAAAAATGCAACAAAAGCATAAGTAGCCACAATGCTAAGGGTCAAGGCCCACACAAGCTTTTCTTGGGAATTATCCACCACGGTCAAGCTGAATCCTAACACCAGAAGCCCACAAACCATTCCTCCTGTGCTTATAAGCAAGAGACGTCTTCTTCCAACTCTATCAAGCAAAAATGTTGCTAATATCAGGAAAATAATTTTTGTAAGACCCACTCCAATTGTGGTCAACAAGAGCTTGTCCTTACTAGTAACACCTGATTTTTTGAAGATTCTTGGACTATATAGCATCACAGCTTCTATTCCAGTTGCATGCTCGAAGAAGTGAATCCCCACAGCTGCAATCAGCATCCAACGAACTGAACTAGAGGGCCTCACAAGCAACTCTTTCCAAACCCCTTCACCATGGTTCTTTTGAGTGACCTTAACTGTCTCTTCTTGGCAATTCTCGTCAATCCCAGAAGCAATTTTTATATCCTTGAAGCGAAGTTCGGCTTCTTGTTCGGTATTTGAAACTTGCAATAAAACCTTCTTGGCTTTTCCTAAATGCCCTTGCATCACCAACCACCGTGGAGATTCTGGCATTGTGAGAATTCCCATAGCCAATGCAAGTGAAGGGATTGCTGCAATACCTAGCATCAATCTCCATCCAAGCTTCAAAGTCAATTTCCCTAATAAGTAGTTAGCAATGTAACCAAGTAAAATCCCAATACCAATACAAAGCTCTGGCAGGGAAGATAGAAAGCCTCTAGATTTAGCAGAGGAGATTTCTACCGAATAAACTGGCGCTATCAAAAGAGCAAAACCCACGCCAATTCCAGCAACACACCTTCCCAACATTAAAATTGCATAGTTTGGGCCATATCCCATTAGAACTGAACCAACCATGAAAAGGACAGAGGCTAACGCAATTGTGTAGCGTCGACCAATGCAATCAGAGGTTCTACCAGCTATTAAGGATCCTACCAGTGCACAAAGGTTTAAGATTCCTGCTAGAACTTCTTGCTGGGTGTCGCTGATTTTGAGCTCGTCCTTTATGAATATCATGGCTCCACTCATAACACCCGTATCTGAAGTCAGTATACATGTATCAAAATTTTGTCTAGGCATGCATTTAACTAAAATATTATTAGCAAATACTAACAAGTGCCCTAAAGAAACTAGATTATTATTTTTTTGTCGAAAAGTATAATTAATAATTTTTTTATAATTCTTAATGCAGTTAAACATTATATCAAACGCACTTAATCATGATTCCATCATTAAGGTCAACATCATAGTGTAACACGTGTAGGGTAACGTAATTGAATCCATTATGAAAATTTATTAATATTTAAGGCTCATTATTTGTTGACGTTTTATATTAATGAGATAGATACCGAGGAGTAAGGAAGTCGACCTTCCTAAGAATTTTATGAATTCCCAATCATAAGCTGAACCATCAAAACCCAATTTCAAGTTGATGGCTGAAGTGTGAGAGTGCAGGACTTATTTCACTTATAGAAAAGTTCCTGGATTTTATTATTCCATGTAAATAACAGAATAAGTGTATGTGCGATTCGTCTAACTATAAAGAGTGTTAAACAGATGGATAATAAACACCAATTTCGAATAGCTCTGTAACAAATATACCATACCATGGTTTGAAGAGAGAACATAACATAGAAATTGAATAATATAAGAAAACAATAAGGGGGGCCAGAAAGATGGAATTGAATATTACCATAGCCAAATATTATAGATATCATGGAAGCGACTACAGCACATGCAAAAGCATACTTGTTGAACTTGTCCTCTTCACTACGTAGCTCCATCTATGAAATGTTTTGTTTTCCGTTTTATAAATGGGTAATATGCTCTCAATTAGTCTCGTGTCATACACTGGAATACGAGTCTAATGAGCTAGCTAGAGCTACAACAATATACTTATTCCCGGCCTGTTTATATAGCAGCGGAAGAAGGGGACATGTTCGGCTTCTTATTGGGTGAACAGCAAAAGGTTAATCTAATGGGTCCCTCTTCTCTGGACAGGCACTAGACAAAAGAGATGAAAATTGTTTGATTATTTTTATATTTATCATTTACTTTTTTTTATTTTTTATTGCATTTGTCAATTTTATTTCTTTTTTTCTTATTCTAAGAAAAAAATGATAAATATAATTAATAATATGAAATAATAAAAATAAGAATATCAGAAATAAAAAACTATTAAATAAATATTAATAATATTAGAATGTTTATAAATCAAATTTACAAAAAGATACTTAATATTTTAGGGATGAAAACGGTTAAAATTTGGATAAAGAGATTATTATTGTTTTCAGATGTTCGGATTTATTATTGATATTTTTGTGAGTAATTTATTTGATAAATTAAAAAAAATAAAGCTTACAATTTAATTAAAAATATTCCAAGCTATTTCAATTTTTAAATGAAATTTTTTAACTTATTAACCAATTAAAATGTTTTGCAGAGATAACAAGTTCAATTTTGGTTATAACTGTAATAAATATTTTATTTGAGATACGAGTAAAATTGGATGTTATAAATTTATGAATAATTATCTATATTTATTTGATGAGTAAGAATTTTATTTAGTGAATAATATTCATAAATTTTGAATGAGTCTATATTGTCGTTCTTATATATCTTTTATTGAATTAGACACTAAATAAAATATTTTTGATGGTATAAATAAATTAATTAATAATAAATGAGTAACCCAAGTTAGGCTTGACTTCTAAGAAGGAAGTGGCACGGTTAGCAAATGAATGAGTAGTAATGCGGATGGTCGATGGGGTTGGAATTCCGTCTTCGATTTTGCAACCAAAAATAAATAAATAATTTTTTTGTTACCATTTTGAAAAGTAAATATTGTTTATATAACATAAAAAATAAATTGTTTCATTTAATAATAAAAATTATATTTTCATTTTTTATATAAATATTTTATTATGTTTTAATTTTATCATTATTTAAAAAACATTAGGAATAAACAATAAATATAAAAAATAACAACTAAGATTAAATATATATATATATATATATATATATATATATTCTAAGTTTATAAATAAAAAATTAAATTTATTTATCATGTGATATAATGTTTTAAGTCACAGGTTTTCCACTTGTCATAAAATTTTATTTTGGATAAGTATTGAATTCTAGATAAAAATCTTCTCCAGTTTGTAGAAATAAGATGTTCAATTTCATTTTTATTTAAATAAACTTAAAAGAAAATGTCGGAAAAAATTAGCTTATAAAGGCAACGTATCAGCATGAGCATATATAATGGCCTGCTATATGTATAGCAAGTTAACAAGTTTTGTGCTTAAGGGGAACTATTTTCATAGAATGAAATTGCTAGTGAAAAAGGGTGAAAGTGATTCACTCGATTTGAGACCAATTGTATCTACCAAGATAGATGCCATATGCTGGTACAAATAAAGCAAACATGAGATGAAAGAACTGTTGAAAATTTGAACAAAAAAAATTATTAGAGGTAAGTTTAGGAATGGATAAGGATGGGTAAATCTCCATTATTATTTATGTTTTTGTTTTGATATATCTAAAGCTAAAAAGAGAGAGAGAGAGGTGTGCTTTCACATGTGATTCAAAGCATCACAAGCACATGAGATTTTTTTTCCTGATATGTATGTACGAGTGAATTTTGATAGTTTAAGCAAAAATTTATTAAAATTTTTATTTAAGTAAATTTAAATTTATTTAAATAAAAAATTGAATTTTATTAACTTCATCTAAGGTAGAATTTAAATATTCATAAATAAAAAAAATTTATAAAAAAATATATAGCTATTATATTAAAATTATAAAAATATAATAAATATTTATTTTAATAAAATTTTATTATTATTATCTACTTATCTGAACATAAGCACATATAAAACATGTTTATTCTATTAAATCTTTAAGAGAAAAGAGTGGTGTAGAAGAACCTACCTCGGTACTTCCGGTTTTCCCCAACACAGAAATGAAGTGTGAATGATGTTTCCATAGGTCAACGAGGCAATACATATTGGTCGATCATACTACCACTACCTCCATACTCCACAATTTGTGTTCATAGGCTCAGCAAAAGGGACTTGCCCTTTTTGTGGAGTCCATAATAATTATTCTTTGAAACTTTATTTCGCACTACCTCATCAAATGCTTGTCCAAATCTGATGACGTAATTACGCGAGGAACACAACTTCACTCCCAGAAACTAGCCAGAACTTTCCCTACAAAGGATGCATGTGATGTGTTTGCTTTAATTCCTTCTGTTAAAATTATCGTGTTTTACACATGAAAGGAATATATATATATATATTATTTGTACTTTGTATGATAATAAGAAAACGTACTTATTTATCATCTCAACATTTTAACGATTCTTTGTTTAATTATTAATTAGTATTTTTTTTCACAACGTATGGATATTATTAAATTTAAATAGATTTTATAAATTTAAAAATAAATATTTTAATTATTAATAGTAAATATTTAACTATATTAAATAAAAAATTAATAGATTATTTTTAAAATTTAAATACTTAATGCAGACACAGTATAATTAATTGCTTGTTTTTTATGTGCTATATGAGTTCAGTCTGGCAGAAGAAGCTGATGAAATTTACAAACGTCAGTTTGACTAGATTTGTGGAAACTTGACAATTGGATTTCCCAAAGCCAATGCGACGCAAAAGGAATTATGGAAAGTTGGAAATAGCTGCCATCTGCTCCCAGTAAGTGAACGAACACAAGCTGCCAAAATCGTTCAAAAATAGAATAATAAAGCAATTAAATTTATTTATTTAACTAAATAAATAATTTCAAAAAATTATATTTAAATTTGACTTTATAAATAATTTAAACTTCAGTTAAATATGTTTTTATCATAAAATGTCTAATAACGTATGTATACGTATTTGTGCGAGTATAATGATAAGTTTAGATAAAAGGCTATGTAATGTAATAACAATTGTGTATAACGTTCACGATCAAAGATCTTTTTATTCTTAATTTTAACTTATTTTTAATATAAAAATATTTATCAAAAACCAAATTAATAAACGTAAAAATATATACTTATACAGTGTATTTAATAAAAGATAAAACATTAAATAATAAATTACTTAAACAAGCCAAAACTTAAGTTTCATATTTTAAAAAAATTAATGTTAAATACAAATATTTTTAAAATTATCACACCTAATTATAAATTATCATATCAGTAATAACTATTAATTTTTTTAATAATTAATATAAAGATTATATTCATAATATTTTGTAGTGACTATAATTGATTTAGGTTAATAAGTATTTAAAAATTCTTTCCCCCATAAGATGGAATTTGAAAATGTTATTTAATAGCTGTATACAATATTTCCTTTAGAGAAGTTGTTAATTCTTATGGGGTCAATTCTTTAAAATCTGTATGCATAAAAATGAAACATTTATATGGAATGATTTAACATTTACATTCATCGAGCTAAAATTTGTTATAAAAATACTAACAGTTTAATTGAAATATATTTTTAAGTATTTTGAATGTACATATATTTCATATGTTTATATGAACTTTATGTAATAAAATTGCATTAATATTTGAATTAAATGGATAAATATTCATAAAAGGTATTAACTTTTCAGTAAAGTTTAAATTATTGAAATTAATGATATTTTATTTAAAAATAAAATATTTTTACGTTTTTAATGTAATAAATATATAATTTTTAACAAAATTTGATTATTTTAATTACTCAATTAGAAGAGAAATTAAGCTTATATAAAGGAATGTATAACATTTAAATTATTAAAATATCACAAAAGCAGTTACTTATACTGAAATACTATTATAACTCACTGAATATTGAACAAAAATACATAAAAACTATGTAAACAACATAAAGCTACATAAAAACTAGGCACTTGCTCCCGGATTCAAAGACTTTTCTCCCTTATGTTTTCTTTGGATGCAGTTTTTTTTCCCAATAGAAAATGGTATCCGGTTAAACAGACTATAAAATAGCTAATAAGAGAGAATGTTGGTTTTTTGTTTACCACGCATCTTTTCTATTGGGAGACATACATAGAAGGGGACGTGTGACATTTATTTGTTGTACTCGGGCAGCGTTTGTATCTCCAACTTGGAATTTTTCCCAAAGATGGTCTCCATATCTTCTAATGATCTTCCTTTAGTTTCTGGCAAGAAATAGTAGAAGCACCAAGCCATAGCATTGATACTTGCAAACATAAAGAAAATCCCCCCCATTGTTATTGCTTTATAAATTGAAATGAAAGTTGAAACTACTGCCACATTTGTAATTCTGTTCACGGCAGCACAAACACCAAGACCTTGTGCTCTGAACCTAAGGGGAAAAATCTCTGAACTATAAACCCATGTCACTGGTCCAATTCCAATAGACATAAAAGCCACAAAGATGTAGGTAGCAACAATGGTAAAGTTTATCACCCACTGTACTTTTTCTGTGGAATGCTCTGCTACAGTCAAGCAAATACCCATCCCTAATAGGGTCACAACCATGCCTCCTGAACTAATCAACAAGAGAATTCTCCTCCCAACTCTATCCAACAAAAATATTGACATGAATGTAAATACAAATTTGCTGACTCCAATACCAACTGTGGCTAGCATGAGCTTACTATTCTCAATGATTCCTGCTCTCTGAAAGATTCTTGGACCATATAACAAAATAGCTGCAATTCCTCCAATCTGCAACAAAACATGAACTCCAATTGCCGCAAGTAGTATCCTACGCACAGGAGGTGAAGGTTTACAAAAAAGTTCCTTAAGAGCTCCTGAACCGCTACTAGTTTTCTTTGTAACTTCCACAATGTGTTGAGTGCAGTTTTCATCAATGCCAACAACAGCTTTTATTTCCTTCAAGCGTTGTTCAGCTTCTTCCTTTGTATTAGATACTAGTAAAAGCACTTTCCTAGCCTCACCTACACGTCCTTGCATGATTAACCACCTTGGTGACTCTACCAATTTCAACATTAAAATGATTAAACCAAATGAAGGAATTGCAGGGATACCCACCATCAATCTCCAACCAAGTTTAAGAGACAATTTTCCAAGAAAGTAGTTTGAGACATAGCCAAGTAAGAGTCCTAAGTTTATGGAAAGTTCTGGAAGAGAGGTGAGAAAGCCTCTATAGGAAGGAGGTGAAATTTCTGCACTATAAACTGGTGCAACAATCAGTGCAAAACCCACACCAAATCCAACAATGCAGCCTCCAATTATTAAGATTGGATAGGATGGGCCACCGGCCATTACAATTGAGCCCAAGAAGAAAATGATGGAAGCTAGAATAATGGTGCAACGACGACCTTTGTAATCAGAAGTTCTTCCAGCGGCCATGCATCCTGGTAGTGCACACACGTGTGACATGCTCACTAGGAACTGCACTTTTAGGTCACTGATTTTAAGATCTTCGTTTATAAATACCAGTGCTCCAGCCATCACTCCAACAACTAAAGAATAATATTGCTTGTTAGACCTTTTTTTTTTCTCTCTAGTTAATAAAAATTGCAAGTAAACTATTGGCGTTTCTTGAAATTATTTTATACAGTTTTTAATTAAAAATTAAGTGTTATTTTTGTAAATTGAGTTTTTTTTGGTAAAAAAAACATTTTTAAAATCATTATATCAAAATAAAATTTAATTTAAAAATATCTAAAAAATTTTACAGAAATTTCATTTCTTTTATGAATAGTAGGTTATTACTCCCAAATAATTTTTACTCCTAATAATTAAGGGCATCCAAAATTTATTTAATCGAATTTTATATTATAAATATGAAATATCTGTTTTGAAGGTAGAAATCTTTTTTATAATATTTTTGTGTTCTCTGTGACACTAATACTTACCATTATTTACATTTTTATTTTTTAAAAAGTATAAATTTATTTTATGTTTTTAAGTTTTTCTTTAATATTAAGATCCCTTCTTTATACATTTTAATTTTAATTACTTTTAAAAAATTTATTTTAATTTTTTCAAGTCTCAATTGCTTATATTATCCAATTAATTTTTTTAATTATCTTTTTCTAAATTTATATTAACCATTTGTCCTTTTACTTAATTATTTATATTTCACATATGATTTTTATTTTTTATTTTTACTTAAATAAGAAATATTCAATACAATAAGCATACTTGCTTGTTTACATAGACATTCTCGTAAGAAACTTTGTTAAAAAGATTTGATGTGAACATAATGGTTCAGTTTAAATTTGTTTAAACAAATTAGATTTATTTAAACAAAATAAATTTATTTAAGTAAATTTAACCAAATAACAAAGAAATCTCACGAAATTTGCTTAAATAAATTTATGCGCACATCAATATTAAATAGTCACAATGTAAATTTCTCTTTCATTACCTCTTCATATATATATTTTTTAATCTATAGTTTCAAAATGTATCACTTTCTTATGTTCCACTCTATCTTTAACATTGTTAAAATTATATTAACTAATTTATTTATTTATTAGGAAACAATGATTTACGGTGCAATTTCTTTTCAAAATCTATTGGTGAGTTTCATGCCAAAAAAAATACCCATAATTTATTTTAAAGTTCAAAATTCCAATATTGCAATCAACAAATAAAACTCACGTTTCCATGTTGCAACTTGTGCATTACTTTATTAACCTTTCCATGGTAGGTAAACCTCTCTATAAATTATTTTCCAATACTATATCTGTATTGGTAGTGCTCACAGAATCCCTTATGTAGTCATAGGAAGTATCATCAGACTGTGACGCAAATATGTTATTTGATAATATTATTGTGGGTAGAGATTCATTTAAAAAATTTTACAAGTTTTTTCTTGTTATTTTGTAAAATTTGTTTAAATGAATCTAATTCACTTAAATTTTGACTGAATCTTCATATTTGTGTCAAAATTTGAGAGAATATAAATCAAATAAACTTGTCATTGAAAAATATACCACAGTTAGAATCTAAACCGTAACAACTGGTTTTATTTCATTTGTTTTGTATTTCTTTTAAGAATTTCATCCAACATAGGAAATATTATTTTGCACCCGACTAAATGATTTCAATATGTTTTTTGTTCTCTAAAATTTGGGAAACACAGAAAAATCAATAAGTTTTCCAAATTCCAAATACTTACAAGCAAGAAAAATGGACAAACAAACAAAATCCAACCCTTTTATAGATCAGTGATAACACAGAGACAACTATAAATGAGCTAAGTACAGGGAATAGAGTGTCACTCACCGTAACCATATATAGCAGAGACAATAGAGGCAGCCATCACTGAACCACAGGCATACTTGTTGAACCTTCTGTTCCCATTTCCATCATTACCGTTTTCCATGGATAGTTGGCAGTGTGCCTTTGTTTCTTCCGTAGACATTTTAAAATTGTCATATGAAAAGAGTTCACAAATGATTACCTTAATTTATAACTAGAAAACTGTACCAGTTCATGACGCCAATGCTTTTTAATTTTATCATTTTCTTTAATTAAGTAAATGTTACTTCGTTCTCTGAAATGTCGCATGTTGTGAGAAATTTCATATTATTATAATAAAAGGATGCGTCACTGACCCTTGTTATTTCTAAAACTCCTTAAAAATGACTCTTCAACGTGATTAAAAAAGGTGATTAGCATAGAATACTTTTTTCTATAGCAATTCTTTTTACCATTTATTTAAATATGGTTAAAATATATGCTTGTCAGTTTAAAATGACAGAAAAATATTTATGAGTGAAAAATATGTATTGAAAAGCTTTACTTTCTCAAATGAGTTTATTTAACTCGACTTAGAATAATCGAAATTCAATGTAACAACTATATATTAAGAGTTTAAATGATATATATATATAATCATTCATGAAATATATTTTCATTCTTTTATAAATTAAAAATGCAACTGGGTTAGGTTGAGTAATTAGAAAAATTGGATTCATATTTTTTATTTTGTTTTTATTGGATCACTCTTATATAATAATTGTTTGAACAACTCTATCACTTTTGGTTGGTTCAGGTTCAAGTTATTGGATTGGGATATATTCATATTATTAAATAAATTATATTTAAAAAGCATAAAAAAGGGAAAATGTTAAAAAAAAAAAAACAGTTATATATCAGGTTGAGTTTATTAGTTTCAAAAAATTTAAACCCAAAACCCATCCTTAAATTTGGCTTATCATTGCTTAATTCGAGACGAACTAACAAACTGATCAAACCATTTTTTCCTTTAGGTTGGGTTGATATGGACTCACTCACACCTTTGTTATACATGACACTTATTTCTTATCCGTATATGAAAAAAATTATTCGATTTAGTCTCGTTATATGTAATTATTTTCAACATTATCCCTACAATATGTTACCAGAACAAAGATGATTTTTTATAATAATATTTTTTAATACATAAAATTATTTATTAATATAATATTTCATATTATTAATATAAATTTAAAATATTTATATTAACAACGGAAGTTAATTTAATGCTGAACGGTTATAGATCAATAATTTTTTTTTATAGGAATTGCAATGGACAAATATGAAGAAAGAAGAAAGAAAATTAAGAATCGGCATTTAAATATTAGATGGGTTTGTAACTATTTCCGAGTGGAAAAATTACTTGGAATAAGAAACCGTGACCGAAAAATCTAATAATATAAATCACTTCAGTAGCTCCTTTAATATATGCTAGATTTAGCAACAAAATTACAGTCATGTACCAACCTTGGTAGAAAACCACGATTTCAAACATTAGGACTATTATATTTCACGTAATAAAGAAATAACCATTCATTAACAAGAATACTATATATTGTAAGATAGCCATAAAAACTATAAGAGCTTATAGGAAACAAAAAGTCTTTCGAAAGAGCTAATGTCTAAAATATATAAATAATTCTAGAAATTTTAGGAAATCAGATCACGATCCACTACATTAAATCAGTGATGTATAGAAACATGATATTCCTTAATTGCTCACTCTAGAGCCAGATAAGTTCATTTCTTAGAATCCTCATCACCAACTATACATTGTTGGACCCAGGCTTCATTTGTATCTCTGAGTTGGAAACTTTCCCAAAGATAGTCTCCATATCTTCCAATGGTATTCCTTTGGTTTCTGGCAGAGAATAGTAAAACCGCCAAGCCAAAGCAGTGATAACAGTGTACATAAAGAAGCTCCCACCCAATGTTATCTTTTCATAAATTGAAATGAAACTCGTAACCACTGCCACATTGGCAATTCTATTCACAGTCACACCAATACCAAGACCCTGTGCTCTCAACCTCAGTGGAAAAATCTCAGAGCTATAAACCCATGTAACTGGCCCAATACCAATAGCCACAAATGCTACAAAGATGTAGGTGACAACAATGGTAAAAGTAATTGCCCACGTTTGTTCTTCTTTGGAATGCTCCACAATGGTCAAACAAACACCCAATCCTAAAAGGGTCACAACGACACCTGCCGAACTAATCAGCAACAGAATCCTCCTCCCAACTCTATCCAACAAGAAAGCTGATATCAATGTGAACACAGCTTGACTCACTCCCATTCCAACCGTGGCTAATAAGAGCTTGCTCTTGTCCATGATCCCTGTTCTCTCAAACACCCTTGGACTAAATAACAAAATACCCTCTACTCCACAAACCTGTTGGAACACATGAACTCCAATTGCAGCAATTAGTATCCTACGCACAGGGGGTGAAGGTTTACAAAACAGTTCCTTAATAGCTCCTGCGCCACTACGAGATTTCTTTGGAACATGGACAATGTCTTGGGTGCAGTTTTCATCAATCCCAGCAGCAACTTTAATTTCCTTCAGGCGTTGTTCAGCTTCTTCATTTGTATTAGAGACTAGTAAAAGCACTTTCCTAGCCTCACCTACACGTCCTTGCATGACTAACCACCTTGGTGACTCCACCAATTTCAACATGAGAATGACAAGAACAAGTGAAGGGAATGTAGGAAGAGCCAACATCATTCTCCAACCAAGTTTAAGGGACAATTTTCCAAGAAAGTAGTTTGAGACATAGCCAAATAAGAGTCCAAAGTTGAGGAAAACATCAGGGAGAGAGGTGAGAAAGCCTCTATAAGAAGGGGAAGAAATTTCTGCACTGTAAACTGGTGCTACGATCAACGCAAAACCAACACCAGTTCCAACAGTGCATCTTCCAATCATTAGGATTAAATAGGATGGGCCGTAGCCCATCAGAATGGAGCCCAATAAGAAAATGACGGAAGCAAGAATGACGGTGTAACGACGACCAAGATAATCCGATATTCTTCCTGCAGCCATGCATGCGGGTAGTGCACACACGTTCAAGATCCCTGCTAATAGCTCCACTTGTAGGTCACTGATTTCAAGTTCTTCTTTTATGAATAAGAGTGCCCCAGCCATCACTCCCGTTACTGAAAAATTATATATATATATATATATATATATCAGTTAGCTTGCTTTTATCTCTCTGTTTTCACCTATTTTGCACCCTAAATTGAATAAAAATTAAGTTATTAAAAAAAATTATCAAATTTATTTTACTTAATATTTTTTTTATAAATATTAAATTTTATCAATTTAATTATTAAATTAAAAATTCTTTTTATATGCTAATTTTTAGTCCCTCCCAATTTACACTCCTAACAACTAATTTAAATGATACAAAATTCACACTATAAAAAAAAATCATATACTAACATACAAACAATTAACGTACGTTTGATTTCTGTTTTAAAAACAGTTTTTTGTTTTTAAAATTAAATTCTAATATAAAATCAAGCATGCCCTTAAACTTTTGTTTTTGTCAATATATTTTATTTTGTCTAACTGATTTTGAGTTAGAGTTTAAACATTATCTTCTTTATTAATAGAATAATAATAAAATTAATGATATAAAGATTGTGTGTTAATTACATTAATAATACCAAATATTTTGTCACTAATATATGTTTAAACATTTGGGATGGAATACAATAGGTATAAATGCTTCAAGTCCTTGACGATGAACAATTTGTCGCTATAAACAAAAGATCAATGACAATTTATTATAAAAAAAAGTCATTATTGAGAAAATTATGATATATAAAGATTGTAAATTTATATATAGTATGTTGCATTATAATAACATTATGATATTTTTTGTAGGGTGGTTTTAATTCCAACCAACGTGATTTTTTTCTCTCTTTTATCATCTAAGGGAAAATTTATAGTAGGCCTTATAAGGGAGAGAGGTAGGAGATAATAGAATAAAAAAAGAAATAAAAACACATTTTAAATTATCAATTTATAATTCAATGTTCCACAATTTAACTAATAGATCAACTGAGTCGAACGAACAAAATAAAATGTCTATTCTTCTTATTTAGTTTTTTTAATTTATATATAAGTAAAATTGAGAATTATTGTTAATAGTTAATCTTAAAAACAAATTTAGTCGCCTTCTATAAATCATTAATGATTAAAGAAAACCTAATCATAAATAACATATAATTAGTCACAAATCCTATACTGATAACTGAAAGTACATTTCATGATGGGCTTGAATCTCCTTCCAAATGCATTAACAGTTATTTGGACATAAAAACAAAATCCATATACTCAAGAATTGGTTATTACACAAACAATTATATACGATATGACGAGAATAGAAAGTGACTCACCATAACCAAATATAGCAGAGATAATAGTGGAAGCCATCACACAAGCACAAGCATAGTTGTTGAGCCTTCTACGATTGTCGCCATCTTCACTGTTACTATTTTCCCTGCTCAGTTGGCACTGTCCATTTGTTTCTTTTGCCGTAGGCATTTTTCAATATTGCTTGTGTGATGAAATCGGAAAAGAATTCAAGTGATGATCATTATAAAGAGAGAGGGACTCTAATTTTGCAAAAGTTAAAAGTACATATTGTGCCAATTATATGCAAATGTTGCTTCACTCTCAGAAAGAAATTAATGTCTCTCTGTCATTTCTTAGAAATTTTACAGTATATTTTGTTATTTTCATTCTAATAAAAAAAAGGAATACCTTTTACTCTAGCAGTTTCTAACACTCTAGAAACGACTCTTCAACGTGATTAGAGCTAGTGTTTTTATTGAACTCAATTATTACATTCTTTGATTGGCAAATTTAGTACTAAATTATACTATTCATTCACCCAGTAAAATCTAAAAGAGATGCTAACAAATATCCTTAAAATACTGGTCGGAAAATTTTATATATAACTAGTTTAGCAACCTGTGAAATGTACAGATATTTTATTTTATAATTAATAATTATAATTTAATAATTAATAATTTTTATAATTATATATATATTAATATACAATTCATTCAAGGCAAATGGTTTCACCTCCCCTTCTTAAGTTAATCTTTAATGTTAGTCGAAGAATGTTCTTGATATAAAAAAATAAATAAATAGAGAGCATCTGAATGTGTATGCAAGAATAAAATGTTATTTTCCTATGGATTTTGTTGAAATAATGTTTATATTTTTTATATTTATTTTTAATTATTTTATATCAAATTATTTATCATATTATATATATATATAATCAACATCAATATACGGTTTATTTAGGCAGATGAATTTCTCCTCCCCATCTTGAAAGGTTGCATATTCAGAGTGATCGTTCAGATTGTATATAGTTATTCACAACCCAATCGAGTAAATCGCTTACAACTTAGGATTTTACTGCACAATCTGCGTCTTTAACTGTACTTTTAAGTTTACCAAATGCAAAATAATATATAATTGATAGCCAAAATATGATATAAATTTAGAAGGAAAAAAAAACATGTTTTTGCTTTTGTAAATCATATGCTTTAATGTATTAATATTTAAAATATTAAACCCGATGGGAAAAAATATATTTAATCACCATTATATTTCAAAACGTTATCAGTAAATAAAAAATTCAAAATATCTAATTTATCAATAAATTAGTCCTTTAAAATTTGAAAATATTATTCTATAAATTCTTATAAAAATTAAGATGATGTGATAAAAAAAAACTTACGAAATTAATTTAATGAGTGATCGAATCTTTAAGAAAATTATCCTGAAATAAAACTTAAAAAAACTAAAATGATAAAATAATTAAAGAACTGAATATATTATTAAAATTATTCATAAATTAATATGATAATCTGTGTATATTTAAAAAATTAAATCACCAAACATGTGAATCAACTAATGAAATATTTATTTCAATAGCAAAAAAAAATTATTTCAGGTTAACCTGTGATTTAAAAAAAATATACATATAATTTAGAAAAAATTAAATTAAATATTTTCACCATATATTTTAAATTTTACATTTCCCACTACTAATGAACAGTACATGCTATGAATTGCAATTGATTTTGTTCATATTATACGACCAAAGCAATCATTAAAATATTTTAAATTGATAATTTTTTGAAATGTAGTAAACTACTATAATTGGACCCTATTTTAGAATCAATCGTTCAATCGACAGTTTTCACAAATTTTGCAAATAGAAAACTTTCCATGTTTCATTTTGGATCTTTGGTCATTGGACGTGCTCTGTTTTAACACTATAAAGAATAGCTTTTAAATTCTGGAAGTACGTATGTAGCACATCCAAACATACACTTTATGTTTTCATTTTTTATATTGTTAACTTAATCCTTAATTTATTTATTGAACAAAAATATAGTTTTTTTTTAGATTTTTAACTTGTAAAGATAAATATTAAAAAAAACTATAAATTTAGATATAAATTTTTGTGTTGTATGGATTTGTTTAAATGTGAATTAATATATAATTTAAATATGCAAGAAATATTTAAAAAATTATTAATTTATTATTTATTATAAATGATTCATTATAAATTAATTTTTCTTATTAAGATCAACCATACAATTTTATTATGATTAAAAATGAAATGAATTACAAGTAACTTATATTGAAATTACATACTACAACATTACATACGTATCATTAAATACCAAGACATATTAAAGTTGTTATTTGTGCAAATATAGATCCATGAGTTTTTTTTTTCCCCTTAAGTACGAAAAATATTGGCACCAATGCTCAATAGCTATGATGCCATGTGGATTGCCATGCCATCCATATTCACTTGGCTACTTTTTATGAATTTCAACAATTTTGGAGACTTTGAGACAGACGAATTGTTGAATTATTTATTTATTTAAAGAATCGTAAAATGACAACTTCATATTTTTAATCATTTTAGTTTACCCTTAACTTTGTTTTCTTGTAAATTGATAGCATCCAACTAAAAGATAGATTGTATCCCTCCTTTGTTCTTTATTCTTTTCATTCCTTTTACATCTTAATTTAAACCGAACTCACTGTTTAGGAACAGTATAAAAGAGATTAAAAAAAGTGCAGAGTCTCTTCTCTCACCAACCGTGAAAATGGGAAAGATGGAGAAATTTTTGTAAATGACAAGTGTATTCCATATATACTAGCTGAAAGTTTATTTTATCTCTATTGTTTTTTTTAATTTCTCGTTAACTAATTTAATTTCTAAAACTCTACTATCTTTATTTTATTTCATGTTTAAAATAATATAAAAAGTTAATAAAATCATCAAAATCTAATTCTTATAACATAAGATCATCAAAGCAAAAATATAAATGAATTCATATTATCTTATTTTATATAATAAAAAACAGTTATAAATAAGAATACAATTTTAAAAATCATTATCCTAATTTTTAAGTTGATAAATGTTAATAAATGAATCAAAATATAAAAATTATAATTACTTAATAATATATAATTACTAACTTTTAAATTATATTATAATAATTAATACTATCTCTACATGTCATTTCATTTCACATTTATCAACTAATTCAACAATTAGTTTTATTAAACACTTTGAATTCAATAAAGCATTTTTTCAACTTTTATCCTTTCACTTTTAGTTAATTCTTCAGCTAGCTTATTCACTATATTTTGTCTTCTCACTTTTATCTCCGTTTTCCTTTCCATCCAAACAATAACTTTCCGTATTTAAATTTACATCAATGATTATAAAGAAAAAATATAATATTTTATAATTATTTAATCTCAGATTTCACAATAGTCTATTTTATTTTATTTTTCTAGAGAGACAGCACAGGTATCCAAATTCGAAAATTTATCTCATCCCAATATCAATCACACTAGCGTGGTGCCTTTTAATTATGGTATGGTATTATCAGATTCCAACATTGGGTTACTTTATTTGTTTGCCATATCTTTATGGAATTATTAGGGCAGGTTGGTCTAACAATTATGATACTAGGACCAGTAGGTTAAAAAAAAAATGGTTTGTGAACGATCTACTCCACAGGGGCGTCGGCTTACAGGGCTAGGGCTCATAAAGCCTTTCTTTCATTCAAGAAAAGGGCTCTGGTCAGTCACTTTCCGGGCCGGGATAGATAGATAAGTGGAAGCTTCCATGAAATCTTCAGAAGGTAACAGTATCAGGTAAGATGCAGTAACAAAGCACTAACTGCGTAGAGTCTGTCAAGATTCAGAAGTGCAATAATACAACGTGCTGATATTACAAGAATAAAGTTGCATACATACCTCCTTCTGCACACACAAACTCAAACAAAACAGCGTTCTAAATACAATTCATCATGCAACTTGTTTTCTTCTTTTGTAGCACATTAAAAAAAGTAGTTACTATGACTTGAGCTTAGTATCTGTCGCCCACCCAACAGCCTGAGGTAAGGTAAGTCAAATTACTATCATTATAAATTCTCATCACAATATATTGATCAACAAACAAATACTATCATTATAAGAAACTATCTATAATAGATAAAAAGCTATCATAAGAAATTGAATTCTAGACAAAGGTAAGTCAAATTACTGAATTAGTTAAGAAATCATTCAAACGCCAATTTAATTTGGGACAAGTAGATTCGAAAAACAAAAATAAGGCTTACTATCAAGAAGGAAACACTACATGTTGAACCTTTGGTAACAAATTTCAATATGTGCAACCAAATTAACAATTACATAAAGACAGAAAATAGTCTGGCAAATCAGTTAGATAATCTAGATAAACGTTTACATTGTCCAAAAGATATTTAAAATGGTCTCTGTGGGGCTTTCTTCCCAAAGATGGCCTCCCAAACAGAGGGTGAAAAAGGGGATTTCTTGTCCAAAAACTCCCTAACTGCTTTCTCGTTAACAGCAAAACCCTTTTCTATTAATGTTCTGATAGCACCCTTAGCTTCTTCGACCCCTTTTTCCTTGCAGAAATCATCCACTAGGCCTACGAAAGTTGTTACGTTTGGAGAATGACCTGCTTCTAACATCTCCACACAAAATTCAAAAGCATCCGGTAATCTGCTACACCTGTAGAGTCCTTGTATAAGGACCGTGTAACTGAAAGCATTGGGAGAAATGCCATTACTCTGCATTTTCCTGAAAATCCTAATGGCGTCATCAGCCTTGTGGGCCTTCAAGTATCCCTCCACTACAGCTGTGTATATGACAATTTCTGGGATGGTTCCCTTCTCCCGCATCAAACCAAAAAGTTTCAAGGCTTCTTGAACCAAACCATCTTTACATAGACCATCAAGCATAGCCACAGCATTGGGGATAAGACCAGTTTCCTTCATCTTCTTGAAGATCTCATCGGCATCCTTTGGCATAGACTCTCGAGTTGATTGATTGGGATTTGATCCTTTTGCTTCTTCAGATTGATTACTTGCTGCAACCTCTGTGGGATTCACTGTTTTATTATCAAAACCAAGCTTGAATTTATCAAGGAAACTATCACCTGATTGACTGGCACCCCTATTCGTTTCTGTCATATTTCCACCTTGAAATGCAGGATCAATTTGGGAATGTTTATTTGTTTCGTTCATTTCATCAGGTATGCCTCGGTTGTCATCAAATCTTGGAGGAAAAGAATATGAGCCTCTATTGTATTCCCGGAACTGTGGAAGAGGCTGATTAATTGGCCTCCTACCACTCAAAGGCCTACTTGGAAATCGTTCTGACAAACACTGTTCAACATTGTTTGCCTCCTCAATTCTGTTGATATTATTGTCATTAAAATTTGAGTCTGACTGTTTAAGAAAAAAGTCATCAGATTCTGCAACGGGTTGTTTGATGCTGCCACTGCGATCATCGGCGAAGCTAAAATGGCGGACAGTCTTAAGCCACGGTGGCAGAGTTTGTTTGGAATGTAAAAGGGAAAGTAGCCTTTCAATCCGGGAGGAGGATACAAGTTTATAAACCCCACCTAGAGATGCTGGCATATGGACCTGTTCATAAGTTGCACCAAGCATACAGTCAACAACCCATCCCCAAATCAAAAGAATAAATAGAACAAAATGAAGGCCAGTAAAGCACAATGGATACTGAGAGCACAAATTGTTAAATAATCAAGCAATGAATCAGCCAGATAATGGTGGGAAAAAAAAGAAAGAAAGAAAAAATACTATCATCATAAAGTTCCCGTAATTTACCATCTGTGATGTTTCACTATTCAGCTCTCTGCAACTGGCGCTGGGAATAACTCAAAGCCTAAGTTGAATTAAAAAAAAACAGTATTAAATCATATAGCAGAGGCAACAACCAAAGAAAAAAGAAACGAAAACCGAACGAATGTATGCTAGAAATTACACAAAAATTTATTTTGCTAGCGTTTCCTCTACCCTAACTGAAACAATACATACAGAGCAAGTATCAATAACCATGGTTGTAAATCATTAGCTAAAATAATCGCAGGAAAACCAGCGTACAAGAAATCTGAATGTCGTACCGTATCACACGATAGTGTACCGCAGATAAAAGAGAGACAAGTGAGCGGTGAGTGAGTGAAGAAATGGAAAGGGAAAATCGCAACTAAGCATGCCCTAACACAGCGAGAAAGAAGGCCACGTCGACGGACTACTGGGCCTGGGCCCTCGAATCTGCAACTCTACCGTATTGACAAAATAATAATAATAATAATAAAAACACGATTTTGGGATTAAACTTGCAAGGTCAGAGCTAGTAATAGGCTATATGGAAGATGATGATTAGGGTTCAAATCTTAGGTCTTGAAATTTCCACATCCCCTTCTCCCACTCCCAAAGGTTAAAAAAAAAAAAAAAAAAACATAATTTGGAGTTGGATAAAAAAAAAAGTTGATATATATATATATATATATATATAATTTTCTCATATCAATGTAAGTTTAAAAATTCTTACACTTAATTTGAATTATTTATTTAACTTATATATAACGGTTAGTGAAATAATATATTATAATATATTAAATAAAAAGTTTAGATTAAATATAAGAAATTTTAAACTTACACCAGCATAAGAAGATCCTACCTTTATATATATATATAAACAAAAATAAATTCAAGTTGATAGAATAATAAAAAAATAGCATTAATAATGAATGATATAATATATTAAATACAAATAATTGAAAGAGATGAGAAGTTAAAATTGGTAAGACAATTATGGAAACAAATTATCAAAATGAAAACACAGCATCTTCATTTTTATTAAGATCACACTAATCTTAAATTTTAGTTAATCTAACTATGTTCTTCTGGATCCACTTCGGGCATATCTGGTATCAGAGCCTGATGGGGAAGTAGGAATATAACTGTTAATTGTTTGTAACTATGTTCTTCTGGATCTGGACTTTAAATTTCTTTATGAAATTTCTGTAACTATGGTTTATCGGCTGGACAGCTGACAGGCCCCTCGGGTGAGACCAGTGATGGTCGTCCCTGTCTGTAACAACGCCACGAACTAATGGTTCTGAAATATTGCTTTTGTATAGATTGTTATTTTTATGAAAATCCTTTACCGGAAGTACAGCAGTTGTTAGTTCTTTTGAATAGGGCTGTAGCAGTAAGACCCGTATGGTTGAAAGGGCAGTAAGACTAATTTGACGATGCTGTATTCAAAAGAAACTAAGAACAGAAGAAGCTGGTGGCTATGGAAAAGAATTTTCAAAATTCTGTAAGTAAAAAAAAAAAAAATGTCCACAAATAACCAGATCCTGTTGAATAAGTTACAAATAGTTAACAGACGTATTGTTACGGAACCAGATGAGGGTGATGTGCCAGGTGTTTTTATATCATGTCAAGACTATTAAGATCTTTCTCCCGTATTTCCTTGCATTCTGGCTCTAGTTCCTCCTCCTCCTCTCCTACAAAACACAATCTCTTTGATGATCAGGAGAAACATTCTCCTGAAATCACACCCAAGCACAACCTCTTCGACGAAGAAGTTCGTTTCGAAGAGATCAACCAAAGCATGGATGACTGGACCATCCCAGTCATTCCTCAGGATACATTATATATTCCTGAAGATCAACCCAAGAAAAACAGTTCTGATTATATCATCAAGACTGTCGAAAATAATATCCCTTTAAGAAAAGGTATAGGAGAAGAATTTCATCTCCTGTCCAAATCCTCTCTCAATGACTATAAAAGAAAGTACAAATACCTTCACATAGGATGTGTTCAGGTAGCAATCAAACCTTTGATAGACATAGGCATAGATGTTGCTGTCTTAATTTGTTTAAGAGACATTCGTCATAATAAGTTTGGCAATTCTCTTATAGGAACAGTTGAAACCAGTCTCGGCCAAGGTCCGATTTATTTTAATTGTTTCCCCAACAAAACTGTGAGTCTTATGGATGAACACATCCTAGACTCCTTGTTTCTCAATATTTGCTTTCATGGGTTAGACATGAAAGAGGGATCTATTCCCGCAGCTCTCATTTATAGGATCCAGTACAAGGTCATGAACTCTTGTGCTTCTAGAGTCCTTCTTAAACCTCAAAAAGGAGAAACTACTTTGTTTATTACTGATATGACAAAGGCCAATGTTTCTCTACCTAGAATTATCAAATGAGATGAGGTTACTCTCCCAGAAAAATGGGTTATGGATAAAGCCTCACCAAGTGTTCCTCGTCCTGCTCCTCAAATACAAGATATTTCGCAGGATAATTCTGGAAAGGTTGAAATAACCTTTGATAGGAGAAACTCTTTTTCCTCAAGGATCGATGCCTATAGTAATCGATCTGACTTTGTCTCTGCTAGAAGATCTTTTTCTTCTAGATCTTATATTAGACCTGATATTCCTAGGTCTGTTAATCATGACCCCTCTCTAAATCTTCAAGGTTTAGACACTTCTTCTAGGATTCCTAGAAATGTTTATCAGACTTCTGAAAAAGAAGACGAAAATCAGAGTATCCAATCTCCAACTTACTCTTCCCTTAATGAGTCTTATGATGTTATCTCATAAATTCATTATAGATAAGGAAACCCTTAGAAAAGATTTCTACTCTGAGGAATGGAAACCTCAAAGAGAGTGGTTCTTTCACAATTATAGGGGAAAAGATAGATCTGATATCCAAGAGAAATTCTACCAATTTCTTGAAAAAGTCAAACAAAACATCTCATTCTTTGACTGGTATCATGCTTATACCATTCATAACAATATTGATTATCCTTGGCAAGAGGATATTATTAGTACCTCCTCGGCTAATGTTATATCTTGGCAAATCAAAGACGGACAAATAGTCCAAAGTGATTTACCACCTACTTCTCAATACCAATTACCTAATTTAAAAGACAAAGGCGGTAACCCTGTTACTGCTACTCCTTTTAAGTCTAAGAACCCTGATGAGTCTATCACTCCTCATGACATCCAAGGCCTCATGGAACAGGCCAATTATACCAATAAATACCTTCAGGTTTTAGGAGAAAAAATCTCTGATACCATATATGCCCGTAGTGGATCAAGGGAACAAAAAATAAACAATTTAAAAGACTGAAAGGAAAGTAGGCAGTAGCAGGACTACTAAATAGTATGCAGAAATTAAAAGTGGAGTATGTATATGGAAAATTTAATGCATAAGAAACTAGAACGGTGGTATAACCAACACAAATCTAGTGAAGGGAGAAGAGAAGAAAGCCGGAGCGACGGTAGTCCGAACAGGACCGGCTAAGAGGGAGAAGAGAGAAAAATAATTTGAAACAGCAAATTTTATTGAAAAGATCTTAAAGAGGAAAGCTTACAAAGGATAGTATCTCTCAGAGCTTCTCTCTCTTAAATCTCTCTTATCTTACTAAATGAAAGGATACCTCACAATATAGTCGAGGCCTCCTTATATAGAAAATTTTTTTAGTAGTATTTCTACAGTTCCGGTTGGTGACTGGAACTATTTTCTACAGTACCGATTAATTAAAGATCTTGGATGTCGATGCCGAAACAATCATCTTCATTTTGATACATTTCTTCAATATTGGTATCTTGTTTTGTAGAAGATTCTCCTTCTTCTTGGTTTTGCAATAGCAGAAGAACATCTTGTAGATTTTTCTTCATTTTTTCTTTGGTATCGCATCCTGATAGAAATGCTGCAATTTTGGATTTTTGATTAAGGAATTGAAATGTTGCTGGGTCTGCTAGATTTAATAATTTGGGATTTTTCCCAAAATATTCAGCGACTCCTTCTGGACCAGCATGTTCAACATTGAATTGATTCCACCATTTTACAAAGGAATACTTGTGTAATAAAGGGAGAGTGTCTTCATTTTCTATTTTGCCATATCTGTATTGCCATGAGAATACTCATGCTAAGGCAAAGTCAGAGAAGTATTTAAGATCTGCTGGAATTCTTGATTCTCGCAGATATCTGCCTTTGTAAATTTTGTATCCTTCTTTGACAGGTGTGGGAAGGATTTCTTCAATTGGTCCAAAATAATCCCACTATTGGAGAAACCAATTTGGAAAGTCATATTTCTGATTCTTTTTAAAATATATTAACTAAGAATGTCGGTTAAGTTTATTTTGAAACCAGAAAATTCTTGTCCACGCGTCAATGTAATCCCAATAATTATAACCTACTGGATCAAATGGTTGGGAAAACTTTTTATAAGAGTTCAGATTTTTTCCAAAAGCCTTTGGAGTTAAGACTTTCAGGATCTGGATTGTCGAATGGGTTGTAATTGAAGGATCTTTATGGTCTTTGTAGTGTTTAATGGAAACAGAATCTGAATCCACTAAGATAAACTCATAAAATTGCCTGGTTTTATTAGCCTGATATGGTCTGAAATGAAATCCTGGTGGGAAGACTTTGGTAATTGCCTTGTATGGGTTTTTGTCCCAAAATTCAGGTTCCATTTGTATGACTGAGGAGAATTTTCCTTTGGCTACATAATGGTTTGGATTTGTAGATTTTTGTTTTCCCTTTTGAAGGTCAAGGGTCCCTTCTGTTTTACTAGGATTGGTTATTGTTTTCTGGGTTTGATTAAAAGACTGGAGTATAGTATTTAGGCTTGCTAAATCTATTTCCATGTCTTCTTCAGAGGCAATGTCAGCCCATGATTTTTTCGGTAGGCTACTTAGACTTCCTTGTTGGACAGCTAAGAGTGTACTTATTGGGAGAGCATAATCTGCTTTGGTTTGTTTTGTGGTTTTGACAATAGAATCAGTCTTTTTGGAAGATTCTTTTGGGATTCCAGATTGTTGTGTTGATGACTCAACAATTTGGATTGCTTTTTGAGTCGATGACTCAATGGGGGTAGATGACCCTGAAGAAGAAGATTTTGAATCTGCCGAAGCAGATTGTGGTTTTGATTTATTTAATGTCAGGGTTAGCCTGACCCTGCCACCTCTGGTAGTTCCTCCCCTGGATGGGGTAGTTGCCTTTCTAGGCATCTTACTTATCCTGTAAATATTCATGGGTAAGGTAATCAGGAAGAGAGTTTGAGGTGCCTTTGATATACTCGATATCAAAATCAAAAACACTTAAAATTGCTTGCCATCTTGCAAAAATTTGTTTTGAGGCAAGGTTTTTTACATCCTTTTGTAAAATTTCTTTAGCAGACTTACAGT